ATAGGGATTTGGTAGGTTTCCATTCTAAAGGCTTTTTAATAAATATGGCAACATTTTGTGACGTTTCATCGTTGCTGACGCGTAGTGAAGTGTTTTGAGTCATGTGAAGGCAACAGAACTTGCGTAACGCATACGTTTCTTTTTATAGTTTTTCATTTCTTGATGCGTCCTTAAAGTGTCGGAATATACCGCGTTTACCCTACTTAATTGGAGTTGAGACTTAAATTTAAGCATGGTGCAATTCATTTTGCAGTACTACTTATAATTCTTGGTGAAGCTGTGAAGGGTGGCTTGTTCGACAGGTGGCAGGATGTCTGACCAACCCACATAAGAATTTGAATAATCTAATTTTAGATCAAAGACAAGTCACTCAAACTTCTTATATTAAATTTAAAGTAACAATTCAGTAATTTGCCATTTGATTATTTTTTGAGATTTCATATTTAGTATGCTGTACAACATTACAGAATAGATTCCAATTGCTTTTGCGTAAATTTTTTGCTGACTTAGGTAAATGTAATGAAGGTTAATGTAATCCAATTCTTAATGTTAATTTTTTTTGTTGACTGGAGCCTTTGCTAACAAAGGTTTTACTGCAAATGCATTATTAGGAGTGTCCTGTATTACCCTGGGAGTGGATCAAGGTACAAAAATTTTGTCTGCAGTTTTATAGACAACATGTCCGCAACTTTTTTAATTGAAAACTTTTAATATGGCAAATATTTTTTAATGGCAGAAATATTTTTTCAAAATGTCACTTCATTTTTTTCAGGGATTTTTTAGAGCTAGTAAAGGCATGATTTTCTACTTTCATGGCACATAGATAGGAAAAATGTTGAAGGTTAAACCACTATTTTTAGCCGTGTTGACACTTTAACATTGTGGCTGAGGACTTTCCCCCATTTACCCCCACTGTCCCTTATTGCCTCATTTATACGGTATGCCATGCGTCAAAAGTACCATGGACCTTAATAATGTTGCAAAAGTGGGCCTCAGTACTTGAAAAACTGTTTCTTCTTTTCTTAGTGTTCTTACAGGGTTGACTTGAAGCCTCAGGTCTACCAGGACTGTTAGGCCTGAGGCCTGTGGCTTGTGAAGTTTTAACCTCTTGCTATAGGAAGGTTGTCAATGATTTCTTAGGAGAGGTGATGCTTGGTGCAGGATTATGATGGAATTTAGAGATGTGTAAAAGTTAATTATCTTGAGTACAAGTTCTCTCGAGATGAAGAGAGCATTTAATTGAGAATTTAGTATATTATGAGCAATTTGCACGTGTGGAAAACAAGATGCAGATTGTTGCGAGATTATCTTGGGATGATGCAAATCAGTAGATTATTCTTTCAAGAATAGGTAACTTGAAATTTTTGTAGAGCAGCTTGTCAGAAGCTAGAATTATTCCTGCTGCCATAAAGTAATTTCCAAACAGCTTGCTCATCTTGCAGGTTTCACCTCTGCATTTCAAAGTGCCAACTTACATGTGCTGGCAACTCGGTGCAAAGGATGCAAGTGACAGTAGAGTTGATTCAAATCTCCTACACACATTTTCAATTATTTTAGTGTCATTTGAAAGCTTTTTCTCACTTGACTATAATGTGAAATCATTTGAAAGCTTTTTCTCTCTTGACTATAATGTGGAACTAAATTAGGTAAAATATTTGTATCAAAGCTTTGACTGCTGGTGAGTAGTTGGTGGAAGATCATGAAAGATGGGTGTGAGTGTGACTAAGAAGTATTAATGGTAGAACATCATTAAAATGTAGAATTTGATATAGATATTCATGTTCTTCATAGTTTTTGCACTGTAAATGAGTTGTTCATCTGAAATTGGTCCACTTAATTGGAGTTGAGACTTAAATTTAAGCATGGTGCAATTCTAGGATTGGCACTACTACTTTTAATTCTTGGTGAAGCTGTGAAGGGTGGCTTGTTTGACAGGTGACAGGATGTCTGACCAACCCATGTTAAGAATTTGAATAATGTAATTTTAGATCAAAGACAAGTCACTCAAACTTGTATTGAATATAAAGTTACAATTCAGTAATTAGCAATTTGATTATTTTTTGAGATTTCATATTTAGTATGAAGTACAACATTATGGAATAAATTACAATTGCTTTTGCAGTAAATTTTTTTGCTGACTTAGATAAATGTAATCAAAATTCTTCATTGTTCATTATTTTTTTTGTTGACTGGAGCCTTCGCTAACCAAGGTTCTACTGCAAATGCATTATTAGGAGTGTCCTGTATTACCCTGGGAGTGTTCTTTATTACCCTGTCATGTGGGTATGGCTGCTATTATGTTTTGGATCGAGGTACAAAAATTCTGTCTGAAGTTTTACAGCCAACGCATGTCTGCAACTTTTTTCAATCGAAAATTTTTAATTAGGCAAATATTTTTTATTACTACAGACCTTGGCTAAAATAGTTTTTCAAGATGTCACATCATTTTTTTAGGGATTCTTTAGAGCTAGTAAATGCATGATTTTCTGACTTCATGCCACATAGATAGGGAAAATGTTGAAGGTTAAGCCACTATTTTTAGCCGAGTTAACATTTTTACATTGTGGCTGAGGACTTTCCCTGATTTACCCCACCCTCCCTTATTACCCCATTTATACAGTATGCCATGCGTCAAAAGTACCATGGACCTTAATAATGTTGCAAAAGTGGGCCTCAGTACTTGAAAAACTGTTTCTTCTTTTCTTAGTGTTCTTACAGGGTTGACTTGAAGCCTCAGGTCTACCAGGACTGTTAGGCCTGAGGCCTGTGGCTTGTGAAGTTTTAACCTCTTGCTATAGGAAGGTTGTCAATGATTTCTTAGGAGAGGTGATGCTTGGTGCAGGATTATGATGGAATTTAGAGATGTGTAAAAGTTAATTATCTTGAGTACAAGTTCTCTCGAGATGAAGAGAGCATTTAATTGAGAATTTAGTATATTATGAGCAATTTGCACGTGTGGAAAACAAGATGCAGATTGTTGCGAGATTATCTTGGGATGATGCAAATCAGTAGATTATTCTTTCAAGAATAGGTAACTTGAAATTTTTGTAGAGCAGCTTGTCAGAAGCTAGAATTATTCCTGCTGCCATAAAGTAATTTCCAAACAGCTTGCTCATCTTGCAGGTTTCACCTCTGCATTTCAAAGTGCCAACTTACATGTGCTGGCAACTCGGTGCAAAGGATGCAAGTGACAGTAGAGTTGATTCAAATCTCCTACACACATTTTCAATTGTAGAAATGGTCTTTTGGTTGACAGCACCTCAATCTGACATTGTGCTGGACAAGTTTCCAACAATCATAATCCCTGTGCCTTCAAAGGTGCGGACACAATACAGACAGTTGTAAATGCTGGTTATATTGTTCACTGGAGTTAATGTTAACTGAAATCAATGTTGCTTCAACTTGTAAGATGCACAGTTGCTATGGATGCCTTGATGATCCATAGCAAATGTTGCTGCCTGCATGTTGGCAAAAAAAAAAAAAACTCAATTGCTTTTGGGGTTACATTTGTTCTGCTAGTCGGTTCCATATTCTCTTTCTGGTGGCCCTACAGCTAATTAGCTTAAGGGTGTAGTCAGTAGGCACACCACCAACTATCATGTCAGAAAATCCTGCTGACATTTCCTGAGTAGGTATGTTCTTCCATCCTGCTTGCTGGCAATGCATTGATTGGGTCAATTGTGCAAACTTGCCTCCAGATCTTCATTCTCTTCAAAAATAACCATGTTCTGGTTTTCATGGAATGTACGGTAGTGTTGTTCTAGGATCTTGTATTTCTTTGAAAGAAAGCACTTTGAGCTGAAAATTGTCTTGTTCCGTTTTCTCTGCATTATCAACCTATTGTTGAAACATGAGTTTTGCCTATGCTAATATTAGCCTCTTGTAGCTCCTTAACCCTCTTATAAATATTTTTCAGCATTATTAGCAGCCTGCTTAGTTAGGACCTCGTCATTTTCATGAATTTGTGCAGAAATTTTGTGGCTTTGAAAAACTACAGAAAAACTTGGACATTGCTAAGCAAGCATATAGATTTTTCCCCCTTAGCAGTAATTGTTAATTTTTAATGTACATTTTTTTTATGAAAATTGCACACCAAAATATTTTCACAGGTTGTTGGTATAAATTAATAATGAAATTTGTCTTGTTGACTAGTTTCACGTTTGGCTCAAAGTAGGGAATCATTGCTATGTGGAGCTGTTGGTAACAAGCTTCTCTCAAACCATTGTGTACTGGCGGAAACTAATGTGTAGGATAGTAGCACGACGTGTCAGCATAGTAGCATTTTTTCCTTGTCTGCATAGCCCACAAATCTGCCTCCACCGCTGCCAGTTAATGTTCTTAGCCAACTTGTTTTACTATTTGTTGTTCCGTGTGGTAATGCTTATACAATTGCAGGCCCTGTTGTAACTATCTGAAGGCCTAATATCTTCTCTCCTAGCTGCAATAAGAATTTTGACAGTATCATAATGCATACTGAATTTCAATATTCAGCATTTTCTTTGATCAAAATTTTCAACATATTCTAGATGTGCAAGATTTCCAATTGAGTCAAAATGATTATGGTTCTCTCTGATTCCTAATTCATGCTAAAGACACGAATTTGCTGCTGCCATGTTTTGGTAAAATGTAACAACTGCATGGGTGGTTAATCTTGCATGAATTAGCCATGTATTCTGTAGCGTTTAAGTTCTACATTGTAGAAATTGTGGTTATGGGCTCCATTAGTTACAAATTTCAATAATGGTTGAAGTGACCATGTGTGGTAACTTGCCCGCAAAAGGATTAACTTGACATTGCATTTAAATTCTCACAAAATTTTTAATTTTGTCTTTGTAAACGCCTTGTAAGCAATTCTAAGAAACATGTTACAATGAACAATAATTTATGCTGCCAAATTTTGCAGTATTTGGAGAAAATAAAATGGTGCGTGATGAAGTATTTTCAGGCAATTTAATTTTTGCTTACGATCCTGGGGCCAAAAAAGTTACGAGATCGTAAGTTCATCAGCCAATCATTGACTGCCTTTCAAGAAAAATCCACCAATCACAGAGAATAACATAGAGAGGAAGTACTTATGTTCACTTAGCAAGCTTTGAAAGTATGGCCCCTGTTGTGATGTACTACAACATTCTTATTACTTCAGACTCAGGTGGAGGTGGGAGTTTGGAGGCAGCAGCAATGGCAGACACTTCTGTGGTGTCCAAGTCCCTACAACGAGTTGTCATGGGGATACTTGAAGACAGTGACACTCCTTCTCCTGCTCTCAAGGCCGCACTAGAGGCTCCACAACACATTGAAGCCATCAGAAAATTTATTTCGGACCCTCTAGTGAAGACTCTGATTGTACAAAGATGCGGAACCAAAGGTATATCATTCATCACAATTTCCATTAATGAGGGTGGTGATTTTGTAGAATTGTTCAGTTTTATTATTTGGTTGTAACTGAATAAATTATCTTATTCATATTTTGATCAGAAGCATGAAATCCCATAAGAAGAATCATCTTATCTTTTTTACTGATTTCAACATGTCACTATTCCAGATGAAGTTGAGGAGGGAGAGGAAGAAAGGGACGCATCTTACACAATATCAAATGGCGCTGTTTTCACCTCGGTTAAAATGTCCAGGTTAGTTGACTTATAAAAATAAATGGTTTAAAGTCCTTATTGTGACGCTCAGATATTTATCAATTACCGTATAACTAATTTTGTATCCTGTAAAATTTCATCTCTTCAATTTTTGTGATGTATTGACAGTATTGTTCTTACTCACCTTATGAAGCAATCATTGCTCCCACAATTTACTTATGAATCAAAATACATTGCTTTTATGCTGTTTCCTTCATGTAAGAAATAAGAGGTCGCTTCAAAAGTGGTGGAAAAACAAGTTTGAAAAACCATCTAAGTCATAAGATTTATTTTCGTGTAGCTGTTCCATCTAGGTTGATTCACCTCTGTGTTTCATCTTCGGTTCGCGGTTCTTATCCCACTTATTCAAAATTTTCGTGGAAAAATCGGCCCTCGATTCTTTCCGGCGCAACGTCCCATAAAGCAGAGAGCTTGCCCAATTGCCATCTATTCACCAGAATTGTGTGTACGCAACCCACGTTCTGCCAATTCGATGATTATTCGCCATTCTTTTTCAATGATCATAAACAGCATTAATGTTTTCCTCATAATGTGATGTGCGTGTTCTGTTTCTGCAGTTGTCATCTTAGGTCTCGTTATCGTTCATTATACTAAATTTTCTCCTCAGTGTGCTGGTGATGAAACGCGGACAAGTGATTGAGGCTGACAAGTTAGTGGCGTCCCAGGTGCGCTGCATTAACCTCAGTGATGGCAACCCCTACGAGACCCTACATGCTTACATCGCTGATGCCGTCTCTCCTTACTTCAAGAGCTTTGTCAAAGAATCTGGCAAGCTGGACAGGTAAGCACCGAATATTTTTTAATTTAATTATATATATCTATATATATCTCTCTAAGCAATTTTTTAAATATTTATTTTGCATTTGTTGTGGGTGATATTTTCCTTAAACAAAATGATCTCGGATGACTTGTACTCAAATTGAAAAAAAAGAAGAAACTGTTTATTTCATTGTCCTGAAAAGTTTTTCATCGCAAGTCTTTGTTATCTGCGACACTATTATTGAAATGTGTTATATTTTGGAAGGACTTCACTTGGTACTTGCTCTAATGATCTTAATTGAACTTATTATCTCTAATCTACGTCCGGCAGCCGCGATGGTGACAAGATGGCTCCTGCTGTAGAGAAGAAGATGGCTGAGCTGGAGATGGGTTTGCTGCATCTCCAACAAAACATTGACATTCCTGACATATCATTGATCATTCATCCAGTTGTAGCACAAGTAAGCTATTTTGTTCTCAAATCTTTTACCATGATTAGTTAATCATAAAGACGTTTTAATCATGATTAGAGGTTATTTTTCTGGCTTGAAGTTTTTGTCATTTAGAAAGTGCGTTCTAACCTTTGAGTATCCAGTAACAAGGTTCTTTGAGTTTGTCATATAAGAATTAATCCAGCTCTTGAATTTTAGATGATTGAAATTTTTTGAGTTCAGCATTGTTTCAAGGTATGATTACCATGGCTGCAAACTCGTTATCTTCTTCATTCTCTGCCAATGTGTTTCAAAAGCTCAGGGTGTTGAGCTACACTTTTTCAAATGCTGGTCAGGAAAACATTACTAATTTATGTTACGTGTAAGTCAATATGATTTGAGAAAGTATTGATGGCCCGGCTGAAGATAAAATGCCAAAAAAGTTAATGATAGATAAGATACAAGTAAGCAAGTCATTGCTTGCTTGTAAAATAGGATCACTAGCAAAATATTTGCAGCCTTGACTCGTAACAATTTCGCCCATGGCATTTTTTAGGTAATTAAGAAGTGCGCGGATGAAGGCACTCGTCCCAAAGTTGCCGATTTTGGCGACAAAGTTGAGGACTCGACATTCCTGAATCAACTTCAAGCTGGCGTTGCTCGATGGACGCGTGAAATTCAAAAGGTTTGTGTCCTCTGAAACGTTGAAAATTATATTAGCATTTATATAAATATAGTCTAACATTGGGGATCAAGAAATAGACCGACTCAAGCTTTATTTGCTGTTTTTGCTCTTTTCTAACTGCATTGGTAAAATGTACCTAATTTCTGCACGATTCTTAAGTTGTAAAACTTTTCAGTTTTGTGCTAATCAAACAAGTGTTTAATTGAAGTGAAAATTCCGTATTTATTGCCGTTTCGCAAATATTTAAATAGACCCTACTCTCATTCCCTTGTTTGTAACTGTGCATTGAAGACTAATTGCGTGGAACAATTGTCACTTTGAAGAATTGAACCTGGGTTTTAAAAATGAATTACATTCAGGTTACCAAATTGGACCGCGATCCGTCAAGTGGCACAGCCCTACAGGAGGTGAGCTTCTGGGTTAACCTGGAGCGCGCGCTGTTTAAAATACAAGACAAGAGAGAGAGCCTCGAGGTGACGCTTACCCTGGACGTTCTGAAGCACGGCAAGCGCTTCCATGCCACCGTCTCCTTTGACCTCGACACTGGTGAGAATATCCTCCCTTCCAATTTTAGGTTTATTTAGAGTGCTACGTTCTGAAGCACGGCAAGCGCTTCCACGCCACTGTCTCCTTTGACCTCGACCCTGGTGAGAATATCCTCCCTTGTAATTTTAGGTTTATTTAGTGTTACGTTCTGAAGCACGGCAAGCGCTTCCTATTTATAACGGTTCATGGTAGTTTTACATTCTTGATGAATTCAAATATGAGATCTGTTTTACGTATTGGTGATAAGTATTGAAAGCATTTACCGCAATATATCACTGATGACATTTGCATCGCTCAGGCTTGAAGCCGGCACTGGCGACGGTGTTCGACTACGCGCCGCTCATGAAAGACTTCCCCCTGGAAGAGCTGCTGTCTGCCACGGAGCTGGACAAGATCAGGCTCGCTGTAGGGGCGATCTTCACACACTTGCGTAAAATACGCAATACTAAGTACCCCTTGCAGCGCGCCTTGAAGCTGGTCGAGGCAATATCCAGGGACCTCAGCGCCCAGATACTCAAGGTAAGCTTTTGTGGTCCAAATGATTTTTTGTGTCAAAGACGCTAAAATTAGCATTAGCCTGTTTTAGAGTTATTTTTATTTACGAATGCTATTTATGCAGCTATTGGAGAAATTTGTTCAGACTCGAGAATTGGCATCGACTTGTTTAATTATTGACGAGCCATTCGACATTGAAGGCAGTTGTTTAAGACATTGGTTGATCATAGGTACTAGGCACGCGACGTCTGATGCACATCTCGCCAGAGGAGTTTGAGAAGGTCATGTCTCAGTGCTTCGACGTTTTCCTTGCCTGGGATGATGAGTATGAGAAGTTCCAAGGAATGCTGAGGTGAGCTAAGCTCTTATCCCATGTTTACTGCGCACCAACAATATGCTACTGTTCTATCCACTCGATGTGCTGAACATTTAACCAGTTCCAGTTTAATTTATTTCGACCAAAAATCCGTCTACGAACTTGCATACGTCCTTTCTATCAATTGAATGTGAAGATCCCTCCGAAAAATAGGAAATTTTCAGCTGAATGGTAACATAACATGACTTGATTGGACTAATTAAAAACCGGTTATTAATTACGTGCAGGGACATCTTAAAGAAGAAGCGCGATGAGCAGCTAAAGATGGTGCTGCGCGTGTCTCCCGCGCACAAGAAGTTGCAGCTTCGCATGGGTCAGATGAGGAAGTTCAGGCGACAGCACGAGCAGCTGCGCACTGTCATCGTCAGAGTGTTGCGGCCCTCGTCTAGTTCGCAAAGTGCGTTATTCTTCAGGGCCTATACTTTCAAAAAAAAGTTGTGAGATTGTAAGTTCATCAGCCAATCATTGACGGCCTTTCAAGCCAAATCCACCAATCATAGACAAGCAAATATAGCGTAAGTACTTGCGTTCACTTAGCGAGTTTTGAAAGTATGGCCCCTGTTCCTTAACTCTTTTCCGTCATTCTTTAGGTTCTTCAAAGTTTCTTTATGAATAATATCGACAATCATGAACTACTTACTGCTCGTTATGTCCTTGGCAAAGAGTGGAAGTCAGTTAGTGGGGATGGAAGAATTAGGTTTCATTTTTGTATCTTTAAAAAAGTTATGTCCTACCCATACATTCAAAACTTGCTCGGGATGTCCATGCAGCAGGTGTACGTCAGTGGTAATGCTTCTCGGAATGTAAGAACAATGAAAAATTCTTGCACAAAGAGAGGTTTCACATGAACATCCGTGTGTCCAAATGATTAGTTCGCTGTACAAACGTGTCTCAAAGCTGATTATTATGTAAAAGTATGGCATCTAGGGTAATTTTGGACCGATTAAAATAGACTGTCATTTTCAATCGAGTTGTTTGCATATTCAGGCCTGTTTTCTTGAAGTTGCTTCACCTCACCCCTGTGTTCTCGCTACAGGCAAGAGTGACGTGGAGGGCGCGCCACCCAAGTCCACAGAGAGCGACCAGGACCTGAAGAGCGACCTCCAGCCTGGCGACCTCAGCGCCATCGAGGAGGTGCTTTATCACGCTCTATATTAGCTTCAGGGCTTTTATTGTTCGATCTTTATCCAACTTCGGTAGTCTACTCTGACTACTTCGCTAGTCTACTCTGACTACTTCGCTAGTCTACTCTGACTACTTCGCTAGTCTACTCTGACTACTTCGCTACGAAAATGGCTTTATCCGACAGTATATTCACTTTAGTTTCCCCACCGCTTGCTCACAGGTGAACCTGGCCTACGAGAACGTGAAGGAAGTGGACGGCCTGGACATTAGCCGCGAGGGCACCGAGATGTGGGAGGCTGCTCTCAAGCGCTACGATGAGCGCATCGACAGAGTTGAGGTCAGCCCGATAATTCACAACACTGACGAATAATTGGCTAATGATTGATACATTGAAGCAGACAAACCAGCAACAATGAACAGTTTCGTTGCACTAGCAATCCAATGACGGACTTTCCTCCGTAACGAAGTACAGCTGCCAGAGAAAGTTGATAATGCTTTGATGTTTAACCCATCGTGGTACGTAGTTATTCATATTTAGTGGATCATATTTATGTTGACAAACTTTGCTAAGCGGATCAGATGCCTTGTGATTGATGATTTCTGGCAACCTAACTCGTCAAAGACAGATCGATAATTCTAAAGTTGATATATTTCAAAGTATACCTGAAGCATGGAGTCACAATGAATACTTTCGTGCCTTTGAACGATCAAAAGTAACTACGCCGCTTGGATCTATTGAATTAAGAACTTGTATTCAGTAGGACATGTACTGACGAATTTTGTGTTGCAGACTCGCATCACGGCGCGGCTGCGGGACCAGCTTGGCACGGCCAAAAACGCCAACGAAATGTTCCGCATCTTCTCGCGCTTCAATGCGCTGTTCGTACGGCCCCACATCCGAGGCGCTATACGGGAGTACCAGACACAGCTCATACAGCGTGTCAAGGACGATATTGAGCAGCTACATGAGAAGTTCAAGGTTTGTACAACATTACACTATTTGATCGCTATAAGTGTTGTCAAATTTAGACGATATATGGCAGCTACACGAGAAGTTCAAGGTTTGTACAAAATTCTATTCATGGTCAGTGGACGGGTTGTCAAATTTAGAAGATATTGAGCTGCTACATGAGAAGTTCAAAGTTCGTGAAACATTCTACTCATTGATCGGTATAAGTGTTGTCAATTTTACGAGTTGAACATGCATTATTGGACTTGTATATGAATGTTAAGATTTTCTTATTATTGTGTTATGATTAGTATCTATACAGATTGTAAAATTTGGAAAGCGATCGTTCATTTTTAGACCTAGGCTTGATGATACTAGATTTTTATAGTGTTATATGATTATGAGGTGTGAATGTTTTAATATTTGCAGGGCGAACCTGCATTATTAGACTCGTGTATACTGTTGAAATCAGTCTGAAGTAAATAGTTCCTAAAATGTCGATCTTGAACATTGCTGTATCGCGGTTCTCCACTTGGCAGATGTAGTACATGCTAAGCCTGTTGCTTTCCCCCTAGGTAATTGAAGTCTGAGGTAAACATTCCAGGTGCAGTACCTGCCAAGCGTGCTGCTTGTCCCATGTAATTAGTCTGGGGGTAACCATTACAGATGTAGTACTTTCCAAAGCCTGTTGCTTGTGCCATGTAATTAGTCTGGGGGTAACCATTACAGATGTAGTACATTCCAAAGCCTGTTGCTTGTGCCATGTAATTAACGTCTGGACTAAACATTCCAGGTGCAGTACCTGCAGAGCAAAGCGTGCTGCATGTCACAAGTGCGTGACATTCCACCCGTCGCGGGAAGCATCGTCTGGGCCAAGCAGATCGACCGGCAGCTCACCGCCTACATGCGCCGCGTCAGTACAAACACAAGCAATGGCTTCTTTATTTCAGAAATTGATTGAAAAACTTAAACAGTTTTTCCATTCTTTGAAACACTTAGTAAATTCTATATTCCACACAATGTGTGCTTGAACGGGTCTTTTTTTTTTTAATTAACATGCTCGTAAGCTTGATTGTTATTACAGGTGTTAGGGCCAACAGAAATGACGTGATTCTGAGCTAAGTAATTCTAAAATTGCTAGGATTATCTTGCCCGAGCAACACTAGGCTAACCTGTCAGTTATTTATAAAGTCTAACGTCATTTATAATGGTTACTATGGAAGGAATGTGCCCTGACAAGCTTTGACTCGATGTGTGAACGTGTGTACAGGTGGAGGACGTCTTGGGCAAAGGCTGGGAGTCTCACGTGGAGGGCGCTAAGCTCAAGAGTGACGGAGACTCGTTCAGACTTAAGCTCAACACGCAGGAGATCTTCGATGACTGGGCCAGGAAGGTACGAATTAGAAGCTTGGAGTTTCAAGTTGGCTGCTGTGTTATACTCTTTATTTTATCCTTCCTTGCCGCATGTAACTAACGGTTGGCTTTTCATTGACTGACCTGTGGCTCCAATATTTCTTTATTGCTCAATATTCAAAGAGTTTTTTGCTAGTTTTTTTTAAATCATTCCTACTTATGACTGACGACAAACAATTCCCACAGTCGTGCGTTTATTGAAATGTTTATTGTCGCCGCTCTCGTCTGACATATCCCACACTCCTCATTAAAATTTTCAAGCACATTTGTTTATTGCGATCTATTTTGTCGCTGCTATTGTCAAACATATTCCACACTTCCTATTCAAAATTTTGAAACGTATTACAGTTTACTGAACTCCATTTTATTGCGGTTATTCAGGTTCAGCAGCGTAATCTGGGCGTTTCTGGCCGCATCTTCACCTTCGAAACTCTGCGGTCCCGCGCCGGCAAGGGAAACGAATACAAACTTAAAGTGAACTTCTTGCCCGAGATCATCACACTTTCAAAAGAGGTGCGTAAGATCCTGTTGATTAGGTTAGCAGATGTCACTCTTAGTCGAGTAAGGCGGTAAGTCGAGTAAGGCGGCAAATTCACAGTCAGCTCGCCTATTGCGAATGTAAACTAAGAGTATTAGTTTCTCGGGACATAGTTCGTTGAAGTGGTTTTAGACTGTCAAGGTGGACTGAAAGACACTTGGGTGAATATTTATATTACGGATCTCGTGCCAAAGCGAGGTGACTTCAAGCTAGGCTTTAGCTCGAGCCTGCAACATGTTGCTTGACAGGCTGGGCAGTGACTAAGTATCGGTGCTGAAAGCACTGCAGAGAACCGCAAGCGTGATGTCTCTGTAGGTGGCATACACTATGGTATCAATGTAACTGCTGAAAATGTTGGTTAGTACCGGACATCACTCCTATAATGTATGGTATGTCTAGATGGTATAGTATGCTATATAGTGTATCTAGATTATATTATTAACAATTGTATGCTACTCCTATAATGTATGGTATGTCCAGATGGTATAGTATGGTATATATGCGTAATGGTATTTTTAATGGTATTTGTATGCGCAGGTGCGCAACCTGAAGAACTTGGGTTTCCGCGTGCCACTGGCCATCGTGAACAAGGCCCACCAGGCCAACCAACTCTACCCCTTCGCCATCTCGCTCATCGAGAGCGTCAGGACCTACGAGCGCACGCTCGAGAAGGTGCGTCTTACTTCTCATCTTTGTAGAGTAATAGTTGAATTTGTATGTCTTAACCCTATCGTTTTCTCCTGGCTCCAGTTGATATTGTGAGCGTTAATGACCATTAAATTTCTTGTGTGTCTGTGAGGGTTAGTTTTCTCTGCTCTTCTATGCCAATTTTCCGTTTATTGGGAGCAGTAAAAAATTTTTGCATTACGTCAGAATGGATTTTTTAGTATTTCGGACTATGGAAGTAGATGGGATATTCTTAATGTAATCAGTGGAGAAAATTTTCTTAAATATTTCTGCTAGCATAATCGTGCATTTGTCTTGCGTAGAAGCTTCAGTGTAACGCAAGAACTGTGTAAAACTGTAGTGGCTCCAGATTCTCAGGTTGACAGTTTTCCGCCCATTCCCTTCCTGCTGGAGTTGCAGGGCTGAAGGACGCAATCTGCATCTGCTGCAGCAATTCTTTTGTTTGATTACCTGAATATTTTAGAAGTAATCTACTAGCCGTTTCAACTATTGACCTTAGTTGTTTACATTTGTGGAGTAACGGAACGTTTTCATATTCTCCAGTAGTTGAATTCATTTCAAAAGGAAATGTCTTGCTCTGAACTCGACTTGCTCTGGACTCTGGAGAATGGAAATAGAGAAATAATTTGAATACGATGTAAATTACGTTGACATAGAATGCTTAATAATAATTCTTTTTGTGATAGACAAATGTGAACTTGTATACTGTCCATGTCCACAAGTGTTGCTCTTCTTTACATCTGATCATCTCTGATAGGATTTTTGTATAGTTACTTCTTGCATCGTAGAGTAGATACTGCATGTAGTTCGTGCACCGTTCTTATAGCGTCGTGCAGCACACACACCACTTCATCGTAACACGACTGCCTTGCGATCTGTTCCTGCCAGGAAATATTTACCTACGGTGATATTCTCTTAGTTCAACGATCAAAGAAGACTTTGTCTGATTTTGGCTCTCATAGTTCACGATCTTTGAACATAAGACAATCCTACATTTTCTTAGTTCGACTGTCGGACAAGCCTGCTATTCTCTTAGTTCACGGTCTTTGAATATCGGACAAGCCTGACATTCTCTTAGTTAGACGGTCGGACAAGCCTGATGTTCTCTTAGTTCGCGATCTTCGAACAAGATTAGCATTTTCTTTTTTGCGAACATTCCCGATCGTCGTTAAGCAGGCGTTATATTTTATTAGATCTCGATATTTTCGAGCCATGAACAGGCTAAATGTTTTCTTAGCTCTCAGCTTCCGTTTGGTTTCGGCTGTCTGATCAACCAGAAATAACTTGTTCAGCCGCCGTGAGCTAAAATAACTTGATCTGTGTGTGAAAGTTTTCCAGCTTTTATTTAACTGTGTGCAACTTTAATTAGGTTTGTTAACAAAGTAAACGCAACAGGCGGTAAAAAATCTGCACATTTACAAAATCATCGTGATACCATGTGTGTTATAAATGATTGCGTGTGCTTGAATGAACCTCAATAAGTATCACTGGATATTCTGGTCCTTTCAGGAATTATTCATTTTGCAAGTGTCGAATAGCTCTCTCATCAAGGCATTGTTTGCGTTACGAGAAAACTAAGACGCAATTATGAATTTTGTAAAGATGCTTTTAATTAACAGAAGATTCGCTTGGTTGCGAAGGAAGATATTTTGTTGGTGCGTCAGGTTACTCATCTATAATGTTGAAAATTTGGTGTTTTTTATCCCGTGCCGCTGTTATGGGGGGCAGCTCATGGTCCGCGGTGGAAGTCTCCTTAGTCCCGCTCATAAGAGCACTGCAGTGGGGGTACGTCCTTACTCCAACCCTCCCGCCTCTGCACTGACCTCTCTTGTCTTCACGGTGTCCCTTTTATACCTCACGTGCGGAGACGTTATCTCGGCCTGGCTTCGTTGGCTTGCCTAAAAAAAAACTTTAGTCAGATTTCATTTCACAATTTGATGAACAGAAGTTAATTGGCAAAGTTGTTAACGCCAAAACCCGCATAGAAACGCATAAGGAGAATAGCTCTCTGTAAGTTGTCGCTGGAATCATTCAGCGTTCGACGCCAAAGCACTTCATCGTAGCATTTAATCATAAGATTAAATGCTGCATTTAATTCAAGTTACCAGCGCATTGCTAGTTTTTCTTGACAATAATATCAAATTCTCTGGGTTTACATTATTAACTTCTTTGTATGAAGCCTAACGAAGCCTGGTGACGTGACGGTCTCCAGCACTGGAGGTGGTCGGTGTCTCGCTACTGCGGCTCCCTCTCGCAGTGCGCTGGCACTTTTCATGCCAGTGCTACGCCCCATTAAATGTTGCTTTCAACATGCCATGTGCTTTTATATCAACAGTATTTTCTTGGTCAAAGTTTTATCCAAGTGATGATTATTATTCAAAGCAGTATTGCTCTCTTTGCACGAAGCTTTGAAGAAGATATATTCTCGGGGCCATACTTTCAAAATTCGCTTAAAGTACGTAAGTACTTACGCTCTATTTTCTCGTCTGTGATTGGTGGATTTTGCTTGAAAAGCCGTCAATGATTATTCTTACGATCTTTTATTTTTTTTTAATTATAGGCCTCGGTCTGTAGTCAAGTGCAGAGAGAGCCGCAGTTGCAATCCGCCTGTTTCGTCTCCTCACTATCCCTAACTGCTGGTATAGAGACGTGTTTGGTTGTCTGGGTGTTGCTTCAGCCAAACTCGCATGATGGCCACGCCAAACATTCCTCAAGCATGTGTGTTATTCTTGACAACGAATAACTTTCTATTATCTAAATTGTTTAACTTTTCATCGGCGTCAACGTTGATGTCGTGGTAATACAGATACCGTTTTCCTTCACTATGGAGGAAGGCTTTCCTTCAAGTCATCTTCTTGTGAATGATAACCAAATCTAATACGTCGTAAATATCGAAATATGCGCATTATTTAAATAATTACCAAGTTGCTCTCTTTCATGAATTTGCTCGAAAGCCTGTTATCGCTTAATATCATTGACACCATATAACAGCCTAACATTTAGTTGTCGCTTATCTACCTTTCCTCAATTTTTGAAACTATCGTAAAGGCCTTTGACCTGCTAAAGCTCCACTTCTTAGTGTATTGAGTGTGTGTGGCAATGTCTTAATTTATGGCTGCCACAACAAGACTGACTTTTTCTGTTTATTTGTCAACGAAATTTTTTAGAATTAGAGGTACCGTGTCCAGTCGATTTTTCGTAATACATTTCAGTTTTGAATTTAATTTTCCAATGTCGAATTTTTCAATTTTTTTTACCAACTTCAAAACTTGTTTTTATTCTTCCATCCACTTGTATCGTGGTTGCCAACAGTGTTTTAAACATTGGTGCTTTTTGTATCTTGAATTTAACTTCTTGGTGTGCGCATTATCTCGACGTCGTCCTAATATTTGAATATTTTAAACTAGATTCAATTTGAAACTACATGAGTCGACAACCCAGACCATTTGCTAAAAAAATAATTTATCACAACTAACTGTCTTAATTATTTATTCTTAGTAAGGCAAACTTTTGCGCTAACTCGTCCATATCTGTTTCTTCATTTAATTCATCTACTTCCATTGCAATTGATTCAGCTACTTTTATTAAAATTGATTCTCTGATAATTGTGATACCACTTTCTTCTCTATAAATATTCATGACTGAACTTAGTCGAACTACATTTTTTTCAGTGAATGAGCACTCGGAATTTTGGACAAAATTTGTGGATCGAGTATTTGTATTCAAAACAGTTTCACATGTAATGGTCGCCATCGTGTCTTACTACTTACCTCAGCAAGTTTTAAAATGTATACGCTATACGTGTTGGCTGTACAAAATATTTATGTTATGGTAATAATGAAATTTTAAGCCCACAATCTTATCAGAAGCTAGTGAATTGTTCTGGGGACTAAGCGAGCCACTGTGGCCTAAGTGCCCGTAAATACTGAACTATCGTTCATTCCCTAGTCGCCACTTTCAAGATGGCAATTAAAACGGAGTTGAACGCGCTGCAGTGGGCTCTACTACTTACTTAGGCAAGTTCGAAAATGAATACGCTATACGTGCTGGCTGAACAAAACCTTGTGGGGCTTTGTACACACACGAATGTTAAGGCTCCTAATCTTATCAGAAGCTCTTATCGCAAATAGTTGCTTTATATTCAGTTTGCTCAACAGCCGACTAGAAGCTTTAAATGCTCTCTCAAAAGGTAACGTAACTTATGCCTTGACTCTTGACTGATGAATCATTGATGAACACACGTATGGAAAATTTCTTCACGATTCCGTAGCGGCCTTCCATTAAAGAAAGATTATTTCAATTCGGAAAATCTGTGTAATCAATTTCGAAATTTATTTCAAAGGAAAAAGTAATGTATGCATAATACTAATGTTTATCAATTACAGAGTTTCTTTATTTTGAAACTATGAAAATTTCTTGTTCTAGAGATCTAAATACCAAAAACACGTTTTGTAAGAAGTAGAGGTTGAACATTTTGCTCTATACCCTGGTATTCCCATCGCCTATCAGTCCTTCATGTGTCACACGACTCATTTTTGTTCGCTTTAGACTAGAATCACTAGATGATAATCCGAAAACTAGATAAATTTTAGGTAAAAATGTACGTTTTTTACATTTAGGTAGTTAGGAAATGTACGTTTTTTACATATAGAAACGGCATCGCGTTCAAACTGTGACAGGCACAGAAGCGCACATCTTGTTCACACCTACGAATGAACTCGTAGGGGCAAAATTTAGGAATGAACGGCAACATTTTTTTATTTTTCCTCCAGACGTTTTTTCCTCCGTCCATCGGTCCTATTATAAAGTGTTCTAGCCAAAACTTGTCCTTAAAAACCTATGAGGCCTCGTCAAAACTCTTAGAATATCTTTCATTTTTTCTGGTATATAAAATTCTCTCTAGATAGCAACTCATAAATTCGAAGAATTTAACGCTTTTTACTTCTGGATGGGCATGACAAAAGCAGTTTGTAGCAAGTGCGCCTAGGCAGAACTAACGACAGCGCATTAGTTCTAGTACGCTTAGGTGTTCGAATTTAAGGTTTTCGTTAGTTGTATTTGTTTTCATACATGGATAGTGCTTTTAAGACCGAATCTACGTTCGTTGTCCTGAAATGTATGCCTATTATCACTCGTTTTTAATTATTTTCTACCTAATAACTTCACCTCCCATGCAGTTGAGTTTCTTTCATATTCATTGAATCTCGTTCGATTCCCATCTAAGCTCTCGGTTATACTGTTGTCTTTCTTTGCCTGTGCAACGTTTATTTCGAAATAGTAGAGTCCTCCATCAAATATCGCGGACTTGTACATCCAGGTCGACACGGCAAGAAGTTGCGATGCTCTCTCGTGTACGGATGTGACCTCCTTGCAATTCCTTCGTTTATTGTAAAAATTTTTTATTTTCCAGGGCTTCTTCCACGGCTCAAGTTCTTTGTGAACCAATTTTATTTGAGCCTAATTCTCTTTGCTTCTGAAATGCTCGCGTCATTTCTTCTTGATTTTATCATAGCTGGCGTAATATATTTGATCTTGATGTCATTAATTCTAGTTGTTTAAGGACGCTACACATTGGACTCTTACATAGTACAATCACTAATCTTTTAACGATACTCCTCATGTTCGTTTAATTTATTATCTTTTGTATTAATCGCTCCCAACTTTAACCGGATAGCACGAGGTGAAACTGACACCTCTCGCGTTAATCGAGCTATGCAGTATGAAGAAATAACTTGTTTGTTTAACAACTCGTCACTAACGCTAAATTTTATGCTAAGTTATTCAATTCCTACAGTTAGTTCTGCAATGGATGTAAATTTTGCGAAAGTAGTTGATCAATTGAGTGGAATCGATAGTTAGATTCTTCGAAAGTCGTTTATTAGTAGTAGAGTAGTGGTTGGTAAGTTAGGTTACAGTGATTGTCGATCTATAGTTATGGATCAGGAAAATGACGTGATCATTCGCTGAAATTTTTCTGTGGATCAAATGTTCATTTAAGTCAATTTAGAAAAGACATGCTGGATGGGAACATATGGAAATTATACGTTGAAATCAGTGAATGTGTTTATGCCGAAGTTGGATTTTAAGCTGTGGGAACATTGATAATGTGCATCAGTATATATTCTAAACTTCAACTGAGAAATTGTATAAAATTTCCTTCTTATTTTTGCTCTTGCAAATCTTCTCGTGTATTTATTTAGTTAATTTTCAGTTTTTCACGATTGATGCACTTAACATCCACCTAATTAGTCCTCCTAATTAGTCCCTAAAGTACCACTGAGAATGATGAACTAATTTCACGTGTGTTTGGGTTCTTGGCAGAAACGCCCTTATCCAGGATGCGGTTGATTATAAATTGAATTTGTTTGAATTAATGTCGCGATTTTTATGGGCTTTATTTCGTAGTGACTATGTCGGTGCTTGACAGGGAAATTTAGTATTCAATTATAATGTATTGAGGATGAAGTTTTACCAGTCTATGGTTCTTGGTTAAAAGTGATATGCGTTATATAGGTATTAGTGAGTTTGAGCGAGTTAAAAGTTGATAGTGGGTTATCATGAAGTTGTTGTAAATTAGAAAACGATTTTTAATATTCCATTCTGAGCGTATCGTACAGAAATCAACCCGCAAGCAGGCATTCGGATAAACTAGATACTATAACTTATCATACTGTGCATTCACAATAACGTGAAGAAATTACCGAGCATTCTTAAGTCAGGATTTACAATGCTGCGTTTCAAGAGATACATAACTTGATGTGTTATGGAAGTAATAGAACTATACTGCAGATAGTTTAGAGTAAAAGTCATGATTAGAATTAGACGTGATGTTGCCGTATGCGATGTGTTATGGAAGTAATAGGAGTATACTGCAGATAGTTTTGAGTACAAGTCATGATTAAAAATTTGACGTGATGTTGCCGTATGCCAGATGGAGGACAAGACGAACATCTTGCTGCTGGTGGCGGGCACGCGGAAAGACGTACAGTCCGTCGTGTCGGAGGTTCGTGGTACAGCTATAATGTTCAGTGATGTGATAGCAATGTGACCGGTTGAATATTGATGTCATTGGTACTAGAATGAGAAGTTGAATGTTGGAATCATAGGTACAAAAGAGAGAGCTTGAATGTTGATGTCAATGGTACTAGAATGACAAGTAGAATGTTGAAGTCATGGGTACAAAAGCGAGAGGTTGAATATTGATATCATTTATACAAAAGTGAGTACCGTAGTTGAATGTTCAAGTCATTGGTACAAAAGCGAAGGTTGAATGTTGAGTGAAGCCATGGGTACAAAAGTGAGAGGTTGAATGTTGAGTGAAACCATGGGTACAAAAGTGAGAGGTTGAATGTTGAGTGAAGTGAGGTGTTGAAAGTGAAATATTGTGTAGAAAAGTGAAGAGTTGAAGGTTCGGTGAAATCGTAGTTGGAAAAGTTATGTATTTGATGCCTGAGTTCTCATTTATATGAGAAGTTGTCATCGCCCAAATTTGAAAGTTGAATCTTATTGGGTGACGTGATAAATTGAATTATTTCAATATGTTATTCAAAATTGAATGTCATCTTGTGTCATTGGAGGCAGTTTGGCTGTCAACTCTGATCAGATATTCAGATTGAGTGAATTATTTGAACAATTTTGTCTGAATGGATACATTATACAATAAAGCAGTATTTTGGCTATACATCAATTTTTAGTTAATAAAGTAAATTATGCAAACGCCTTATAGACTCCCAACGACTTAGTGCAATGTTATGTGACTAATTGAATAATTTTTTTAGATTTAATGAATTGAATTTGCTTAATTAAAGCTCAATTGAGTGCTTTTTCTGCAGGGCATGTCGCTGGTATGGGAGTCCTACAAGCTGGACCCTTACGTACAGCGCCTCGCAGAAATTGTCTTCTGCTTCCAAGAGAAAGTCAGTTCAATTATTGATATCTCGTGTGACTCGAATTCTATACTTATATAGATTATGTAATTTGTAGAATTGAAATTTCATTATCATTTGATATTTTTTATTCCAAGTTGAAATTAAGGAATGAACGTTCGACTTTCAAGCAACTGGAATTGTGTTATTTAATAACTTGCTCATTTTAATGCAACTTCAATATTTTTATTGAAAATCTTTACTTCAATATAGTACGTAATTTATTTGTATGCCTCAACTTGTGGATGTTTTGCAGGTAGATGATCTGCTTGTGGTGGAAGAGCAGCTGGAGGCGGACGTGAGGTCTCTGGACACCTGCCAGTATGCGCACCACGTCTTCAAGGAGATACTCGCCAAGATCCAGAAGGCCGTTGACGACCTCTCCCTCCACCAGTACTCGAACCTACACATTTGGGTTCAGAGACTTGATCAGCAGGTGAGAACCTTCCTAAGACCTCACTGAACTAAGAGGGTGAGAACCTTCCCATGGCTTCCTGTTGAACTAAGAGGGTGAGAACCTTCCAGTGACCTCACTGTGAACTATAGGGTGAGAACCTTCCAGTGCCCTCACTGTGAACTAAGGAGGTGAGAACCTTCCAGTGCCCTCACTGTGAACTGAGAGGGTGAGAACTTTCCAGTGCCCTCACTGTGAACTAAGAGGGTGAGAACCTTCCAGTGACCTAACGATGAAGTAAAGATGCGAGAATATTCCTATGACCCGACTGATATGGCTTGTGGTTCCTTGTGATACAAGGTTTTATCACTATCCCATTATTGAACATCATAATTGCATTTATCACAGTTTAATTATATTTATCTTCTCACGCTGGAGTGCAGGCGTGGACGGCGGCGCTGAAAGGCGTCGCGGATGACCCCGAAGACATTCCCATGGACACGGACGCGCCGGATAAGCCAGTCACTTACAAGCTGGGCGGCAATCCTAAGGTCAGATCTTCATCTATGTGCTCTCTAATTCTAATTACCGTTTATCTTGCTATTCGAAGTATCGTTTCTTGCCATACCGAAGGAAATTCTGGAAAACAAAACGCAAAACTTGGTCTCTCATAATGAATATATATATTAAGAGCTGGTTCACTCGGATCGAATTCAGACAAGCTGAACTTATCACTCTTGGCTGGTTGACGTCATCTTTGAATGGGCTGCCTATTGTTGACTGGCTTGTTATGTGTGCAGATCGAGCAAGTAGTACACGAGGTGCGCATCACAAACCAGCTGCTTTACCTTCACCCCAGCATGGAGGAGGCCCGCTACCAGATCATGCAGCAGTTCTTTGCCTGGCAAGCCATAGTCACCAGCCAGAACAAAATTCAGAGCACGCGTTACCAGGTGCTGCTTCTTCATATATCTTCCACAAGTTACTTAAAATTGTTAGCACAGGAACATCTTTTTGATTTGTTGCCCGCTAATTACCTGTTATTGTTAGGAAGTTGATCTATATTGAAGTTTGTTTTAGAACTGTACATTCAATGGGTAAACTTAGCTCAGATTGAAATGTTATCTGATTTGTACATTCAAAGATGAAAATCTTCACTCTTCATTATTCCATATATGCCAAACATCAGGAGTTCTCGAATATAGTTGTCCGTTTTTGTGCGACCGAAGGTTGAAAAATATTCGATGATTTTTGAATTGAAGTTTTTCTCATGGTTGTTGTGTGTTATTATTCTAAGGTTGGTCTGGACCGCCCCCTGAAAGAATGGTACCGGAACCTGATCTTGATGATCCCTGAGGGCAACAAGGGCAGCATTGCTGCTTACAAGGCCATCGATGAAGTCGTCACGCAGGTACGCATTTTTCACATGTGACGTTAAATTTATGTTGTAATATATTTGGCGGCAGATCGTGTGCGTGTGTAAATTGCCTATCCTGGTAATGGCAACTTGGTAAGGAATGGGTGTGATAAGTCAGTTTTTCCGGACACTTGATGCCACTGGTAGTTCCACGACCATCACTGGCTCGCTGCCCCGCCAGAACCATTTTATTGCATTACACAACATCCTGCACAAACCAGTTACTCATTTATCGAGAGTTGGATGAATGGTTGAGTTGACCATGATCTGAGCTTCCCGGAAGATCTTGTCCTCAATGAGACTCGAACCCGGGAGCTGGGTGCGAGAGACAGTCTCTCATCATTGGGCGCCGCAGCTCTCAACGTGGCGATAGAAAACTTACCATTACGTCTATTGTTTCTCTTGTATCTTTTCCATTGTGAATTTTGTGACTCGGTATGTAATGTACTGTTTTGCTGTCACTCAACTAAATTGTTTTTATAATAACCAACAGGTGCAGGAATACGTGCAGCAGTGGCTGCAATATCAGGCGCTGTGGGACCTGCAGCCTGATCACCTCTACGGCCAACTTGGCGAGGACGTTGCCTGGTATTTCTTATTACTTTATCGCATTTTTTTTTTTGCTTTATTCATGTTCTTTAACTTTGTTTATTTGTGAAGTGGAAGAAGTTTGAATTTTAAAGTATAACAGAGATAATGTTCATCGTAATTTGATTAAAGTAATTTGTTGTTCTTCCTGGGAAGTTCATATCAATGGGCATTGTTTGTTGCACGATTAATGCAAACGATAATTGCGACGGCATCTTGCCTTCAAACTTTATTTCATTTCATGCTCCAGAGCAATTTCTGGTCCCATTATCGAACTAGCTCTGCCATGGTCTTCGATTTGATTCTGTAAAAAGCTTATGCCCAATCCTCTAAGATGAGTAATAATCAGTTAACCCGGGCTATTAGAATAAGTTGCCTTTCCAGGTTCCTGAAAGCATAGTGAAATGCAGGAAGTTCCAATTCTTAATTTGTATTATTTATATCATGTTCTTATTTATATATAACTTGGTCACTATATAATGAAGATGTATGGTCGTTTCAGTTGGATGAAGCTGCTTCAAGACATCAAACAATGCCGCACGACGTTCGACACGTCGGAAACGCGTAAATCGTTCGGTCCTGTGGTGGTGGACTACGCGAAGGTGCAGAGCAAAGTTTCGCTCAAATACGACTCGTGGCACAAAGATGTGCTCAGCAAGTTTGGGCAGCTGCTGGGGCAGGAGATGACACAGTTCCACGCTCAGGTCTGTGTCGTATTCATTCCAGCTTCTACAAACATAGGTTTGCACTGTGGAAATTTTATAATAAGAGTACCATGCCCACATCTGGACGCTTTTTGTCTTCATCTTATTGTTGTCGGATGTGGTATATAATTGCTGATTTATTGTTACAAAAATGGTGTATGTTTAACGATGCAAGCGGCAAAGGATAGTTGAGCAACTTGTACCTTAGAATTATTTATCTCTGATGTTATACGTGACGTGATTTAATACTGCTTTTTAGGTGTTCAAGAGCCGCAGTGAACTGGAGCAACAGAGCATAGACTCCTCGAGCACATCTGATGCCGTGACCCTCATCACTTACGTGCAGGCGCTGAAGAGGAAGATGACGGGCTGGGGCAAGCAGGTGTGCCTTGTATATCTTATCTGCAGGGCCCTAGTTATTTACCGAACCTTTTTGAATTCTTTGCTTGTTTGAATGTAGATGTGTTCTTCTAAATCTGTTCTGGTGAACATTTGACTTTCCTCGTTTGTGGAACATGCCATAATGGGGAAAATGTTACGATTAACCAAAGACTTGGCTCGAAGAAGGCAGATGAATGCATTGGAGAGTATTATATGTATAATTTATTTTTGATGTTATAATTAACTTCATGATTGAGATCTGTTCTGGATATTGTTTGCAGGTGGAGATGTACGTAGAAGGACAGCGCATCTTAGAAAGGCAGAGGTTCCAGTTTCCGCTGCAGTGGCTGCACGTTGACAACATTGAGGGCGAGTGGGGCGCATTCAATGAAATCATTCGACGCAAAGACACGTCTATTCAAACACAGGTAACGGTTTGATCTTCTCAGTATTGAAGAATTTATTAAATGGTGCGTTGCAGAATTGTGTACGAATGAATAACTTTAAGAGTATAGATTAACAGTAACAGTTTTACACTTTTCTTATTCCTTTTGTCCATTATATTTCGGTAATTCGTAAGTTTTTCAACTATGGTTGTAACAAAATTGCAATTATTTTCATTTTAGTTCAGTATCTACGTATTACATTTAATTTTTAATATTATTTGTGCCGTAACATCATAGATGGTCAGTTTTTAATGCCGCTTTTGTTTCTGCGTTTCAGGTTGCGCAGCTGCAGCACAAAATCGTGGCAGAAGACAAAGCTGTCGAGGTTCGCACCAACGACTACCTCCAGGAGTGGGAGCGTGCCAAGCCCGTGGAGGGACACCTAAGACCTGACCAGGCGCTCAAAGATCTTGCCCTCTATGAGAGCAAATTTACTAAACTCAAGGACGATCGCGACAACGTTGCCAAGGCCAAAGAGGCTCTGGAGCTACAAGAACCTGGAGTTCTGAACACATCTGATGACCGCATGGCCGTTGCATATGAAGAAATGCAAGACCTGAAGGGAGTTTGGACGGAGCTTGCCAAAATCTGGGAGCAAGTCGATGAAATGAAAGAAAAACCCTGGCTTTCCATCCAACCCCGGAAATTGCGCTCACAGTTGGATGCCCTTATTGGGCAGCTCAAGGAACTGCCTGCTCGCCTGCGACAGTACGCTAGCTACGAGTACGTAAAGAAAATGTTGCAGAGCTACACTAAAGTGAACGTTCTTATCATCGAACTCAAGAGCGACGCTCTAAAGGAGCGTCACTGGAAGCAACTGATGAGACAGCTTCGAGTAAGTTGGGCCTTGAGCGAACTTACTCTGGGACAGGTCTGGGACGTGGACCTCAACAAGAACGAGGGCATCTTGAAAGATGTTATAATCACAGCTCAGGGAGAGATGGCGCTAGAAGAATTCCTTAAGCAAGTGAGGGAGTCGTGGCAAAACTACCAGTTAGATCTTATTAACTACCAGAACAAGTGTAAGATCATAAGAGGATGGGATGACCTCTTCAATAAAGTGAAGGAGCACATCAACAGCGTTGCGGCCATGAAGCTTTCCCCTTACTATAGAGTATTTGAAGAAGATGCCTTGACATGGGAGGAGAAACTAAACCGCATCAGCGCTCTCTTCGACGTATGGATTGATGTACAGAGACGCTGGGTTTACCTTGAAGGTATTTTTTCCGGCTCTGACGACATCAAGGCTCTTCTACCTGTCGAGACATCGCGGTTTGCCAGCATCAGTACAGAGTTCCTGAACCTCATGAAGAAGGTGGGCAAGAGCCCCATGGTCATGGATGTACTCAACATCCAAGGTGTTCAGCGTTCTCTTGAACGGCTTGCTGACCTACTAGGCAAAATTCAAAAAGCTCTTGGTGAATACTTGGAGCGAGAACGATCGTCGTTCCCACGTTTCTATTTCGTTGGAGACGAAGATTTGCTGGAAATAATCGGCAACAGTAAGAACATCCCTCGCTTGCAGAAGCATTTCAAGAAAATGTTTGCCGGAGTTGCTGCAATTATCCTAAATGAGGATAATACAATCGTCACTGGCATTGCTTCTCGTGAAGGCGAAGAAGTCATTTTCAAGAATCCCGTGAACACCATCGAAAATCCAAAAATAAATGAATGGCTGTCCCTTATCGAAAAAGAAATGCGCATGACCTTGGCTCAAAACCTTGCCTCTGCGGTTTCAGACATCCGTCAACTCAAGCACTCCGGCACGAACTCATCTGCCTACATGGAGTGGTGTGACAGCTACCAGGCGCAGCTCGTGGTGCTAGCTGCGCAGATCAGCTGGAGCGAAGACGTCGAAGGAGCCCTTGCGTCAGGCGACTCGACAGCCCTAAACAATGTCTTACAGCAGGTGGAGTCCACATTAACCCTGCTAGCCGACTCTGTGCTACAGGAACAGCCTGCACTGCGACGCAAGAAACTAGAGCATCTCATTAATGAGTTTGTTCACAAGCGAACGGTCACTCGCAACCTTGCAAGGATGAACATCAACAACTCTAAATCCTTCCAGTGGCTGTGTCAAATGCGATACTACCTCGACCTGAAGCAAACCGACCCTCTGAAGCAACTGAGCATCCACATGGCCAATGCCAAGTTCAACTATGGGTTCGAGTACCTCGGAGTGCAGGATCGTCTCGTGCAGACGCCTCTTACGGACCGTTGCTACCTCACCATGACCCAGGCGCTTGAGTCGCGTCTTGGCGGTTCACCCTTTGGACCCGCCGGTACAGGCAAAACAGAGTCCGTTAAAGCCCTCGGTAACCAACTCGGGCGCTTCGTTCTTGTCTTCAATTGTGACGAAACGTTCGATTTTCAGGCCATGGGGCGAATCTTCGTCGGTCTTTGTCAGGTAATCTATAATTGTTGCAATATCGTGGCGGATTAACAGACATTCTGTCTCGTTGCTATGTGTGCTTAATTTTTCTTGTTGCATTTAACTACGCTCGTCATTCATTTCAAGCCTATAATCATCATAATGTGGGGTTGTTAGTTTCTTAGTCATACATTCGATTCTTTGCTGTCCTATTCTATTCAAAACCCAACTGAATGTAGAGCTATGATCATGAATTACGATTGTTTACACTCTCAATATTTACTTTTACATATCAGGAGTCAAGACCATTTAATTGGCTGATTTTGTATCGTACTGTGCTTTTTCTTCAAACTGTACGTTTTCACATTAACAAACATCACTTGTTTTACTTTTCTCTCTCTGTATTATTTAAAGCCGCCTCTGGTTTTGAGCCGAATCACTTGTAGAATAGACATGAATGTTTTTATTTTATCGTTGCACTAGGTTGGTGCCTGGGGCTGCTTCGATGAGTTCAACCGTCTTGAGGAGCGGATGCTGTCTGCGGTGTCTCAGCAGGTGCAGACCATACAAGAGGCCCTCAAGGGAGAGGCTGATAATAAGAGCTCTGCTGGCACCATTAGCGTCGAGCTCGTCGGCAAGCAGGTATCACAATCTCTTCTTCAGTTTTGCAACCGTGCTGATTATCTGCATCAAAACCGTGTGTATTGAACCGTTATTTTGTCGTTACGATGTAACTAATGTAATGATAATAGTAGCCGCCTGCAGGCACCAGAATAACTTTTGACTTAAGCATCAAAACTATGTGTATTGAACCTATTATTAAGCTGTTAATATGTAGCTAAGGCAATGACAAAAGATTAAAAGATAATCATTGTAGCAAGACTCGTTGACTAAGTTATAAGCAATCGTCAAAGATGTTTGCCTTTTTTTGTGCCAGAAGCGCCATTATCGGCAAATATGTGCTTTCGTTCCTCAACTTTCAGCGTTAAGGAGTAACGGTTCTTTGAATGAATTGTCTAGAAAAATTATCGAGTAATTATTCACAGGTCAAAGTTTCCACGGACATGGCAATATTCATCACAATGAACCCTGGCTACGCCGGTCGTTCCAACCTCCCCGACAACTTGAAGAAGCTCTTCAGGTGAGATATGATATCATCTTTAAAATGTCATACCGCTGTTTACGAGATAATAGAACAGTGGTTCCCAAAGTGGGCGATACCGCCTCCCTAGGGGCGGCGGAAAGATCTGGGGGGACGGTGAGGTAAAAGAGGGCGGTGGGGGCGGCATTCTAAAGGCGATGTCAGAAGTTCGAACGTTTGTTTGACGATTTGTACAAAACGCTTGCAGCTACACGGCTCGCTGTGATGGGGTTTTCCACCAGATCTTGGTTTTTTAACCTCTCCTGGGAATAAACGAGGTTGATGAGGAATTTGAAGCAGGAATTTAACTTCTCCTGGGAATAATTAAAAATTTGGGGGCGCTAGGGATTCTAATGTTTTTCTGGGTAGGCGCTAGGAATTAACTGGGTAGCCAAGGGGCCGCCAGCCTGCTAAAGTTTGAGAACCACCGTTGAAGACCAATATTCATAGATAGACATTTGGACGTTGTATTTAGTGTGCTAGTTTAGATTGTAACTCCGATGTTTCTGCTCTGACAAATTTTTTAGCTCTTAGTCACGATGGCATATATGAGTTAAGGGGACCAAAAGTGGATTAACATGCTCCCTCTGGCATCTATTTTAAGATCAGAGTGAACTTAATTTATAAGTTATCTCTTGTAGACTAAATTATTTACAAGAATGTGTGTGTGAAATTATTATTTGTATTCGCTGCAAAATTAAAATATTTTTCGGCAGTGAAAATGTAAGTGGGTAATTAATTCCCGGCCACTTAAAATAGAAAAAATGTTTTTTTTTTTACCGACATCCTGTCATTGACAGATCCCTGGCCATGACGAGGCCTGATCGCCAGCTTATAGCGGAAGTGATGCTCTTCAGTCAAGGCTTCCGCACTGCTGAGAAGCTGGCGAGCAAGATTGTGCCCTTCTTCAAGTGAGTTTGGATCCCAGCCGCATTGAATCTTCTTTGAATATTATAGTTATGAATTTGTTGCATGTATGCTCTTTGTGGTTCATAGACGAATCGCAATTAATCTCTTCTTTCCAGTTTGAAAAAATTTCTGCATAACTGTCCACATTTCTGGCTTTGTATGTGATCCAAAGCGATCATTCGCTTGCTGATTCTCAATGTTCAGTAGTCTTATGGCTAATTTATTTGTACTTGAAAACTGCATTTTGGTGCCCTGTAATCTTTGAAACGGAAAACCTTTTTGAGCCGTGCCATTAAAACTCGTTTACGTACGCGTAGCGGCTGTTTTTTCGTCTGGGATTGGTAGGATTTAACTTGAAAATCCTTCAATGATTGGCTGACTTAGTTACAAACTCGTGACTTTTTGACGCATTTTCTCATTTATGGAAAAAATGCGTTATTGTGCTCGTCATGTCCGTCCGTCTGTCCGTGACTTCATGATTTCGTCGACGAGAGAATGCGCTTTCCGTCACTCACTGCAGTGAGTACAGAGTTATATTTTTTTGATAGTACTGCCCGTGACTAGCACAGTTGTAGCGATCGAAAACACCTCACCTCCCTACCTCTTTGCCAGGCTCTGCGACGAGCAGCTGTCGAATCAGTCGCACTACGACTTCGGGCTGCGCGCCCTCAAATCTGTGCTTGTGTCCGCCGGCAACGTCAAGCGCGACCGAATCTTGAGGATCAAGGAAGAGAAACTCTCACAGAACGAAAGAGTTGATGAGGCAGATATTGCCGAACATCTTCCAGAACAGGAGGTTAGTGAGCATTGTTAAAACTTGTATTCATCATTTTTAAATGTAATATGAAAACGAATTATTTGACCCCCAAGCTTCTAAATGCTTTTATATCGTGTGCATGTCAGCCAGATTTGTATGCTCGAATACTCGGCTTCCAGTTATCTAAAGTGTGTATTTACATTCTGTTTTCCCAGATCCTCATTCAGAGTGTTTGCGAGACCATGGTCCCGAAGCTGGTAGCTGAAGATATCCCGCTGCTCTTCTCGCTACTTTCGGACGTCTTCCCTGGCATCGAATACAACAGGGCGCAAATGACGGCACTCAAGGAACACATTCGCAGCGTAAGTTTCAAGAAAAAATTACTATTCATTTTTTTTATAATGGTTTACAACGAGTGCAGTGGTATCAAGGTACCGCAGTGACCAACTAATATTTGTGACGAATTGTTTTAATACGTTAGGAAATTTTCAAACTTTTGTCACTGTAACTGCCTGGATTGCTTCAAATATTTATAAAATTTTAGGTTTTAGAAAGTTATTACTGTTTAGCTGTTAAGGTCTCGACATTTTTCTTTTCAGCGAGTTGCTGATAAAATTTGAAAAATTGATCAGCATTCAATGTTCTTCTCGAATTGACTGATGATTGTTCTGACTAATTCCTTTGATCATTCATAACGTGTTGCTTACGGTCAGGTTTGCCGCGAACAATACTTCGTGTGCGGTGAAGCGGAGGAACAAGGCGCTCACTGGATGGAGAAGGTGAGACTGTCAAGCTCGATCTATTTTCAGCGTGACTGTATAGAGTTCTTAATTCGTGTATTTATTTTTAAGGAGTTTTGTTTTGCTATCTGCAAGTGAATTCCAAATTTTCAAAGTACCAATCCATTGCAAAATATGTCTGCTGATGTTTATGGTTGCATTCCTAGTGTTAAAAATTGAAAGGAAGTGTAGAAATACGTTGATATGTATCGTGATTTTTAATTTTTGGTTATTAAGCTCCGTAGAATTGTTTAGTTCCTTTGTTACTTTGTATTGACTGGAAATGTGGTACGTCAGCTCTGTAAGTGACATTCCCTTGTAACTCGTGAGCTTTTTTTCTATCTATATCTTGGGATGCTTGAGAAGAACGTTATGAACGACGAATGTATTTCATTAGCGTTTCATTTTCAATCACTGATAGTTATTTTCATTTGTTGTAAGTGATCTTGTTCACTTTAGTTTACAGTTTACTTACCTTCAGTTGTTTGTCCTCTCGAGTACGACTGAAACTTCAAATCATTGTTTGTGTCTAATTTTTATCCGTCTGCAGTCCGTTATTATGCACGAAACTTTTCCCGCCTGAAATCTCCCCTTACTTTTAACGTAGGTATATGCTATATTTAGGCAAGGATTAGCACTACTAATGCATCTCCTTACTCTATAGCCTGCACCTTGTACTTGTCAACGAGAATAAAAACTGCTGCGAATGGATGCTAATACATTTGCATATCAGTCCCTATTGGAAAGGTTCACTGAATTTCTCTCGTGTATTGCTTTCTCTCGTGTACACCAGCTGTACCAAATCAGTTCGTTGTTTGAAGTATGTTTTTGGTAATTGGCTCGTGACTGTAAGGTTTATCTGTTCCTTAACGCTGCGTGGCTCAGGGGCCTAGCCCTGGTGAAGGATGGTGTGACAAGGTAAGAAGCTCGCCATTCTCTTCAGCGATTAATAATCATCACAGCATCTTGCATTTAATATTTACCTTTAGTGTGCGTGTAGATAATTTCTCCCGCCTCCTCTTTGCTGTATTGTATTGATATTTATAACCTCGAATGACGCGACTTTCGAATGGTAAGACATAATTTCTATCAAGGTGAAAATTTGTTATTTTCACGATATTATTACCATTGAATCATCCTCATTCTGTAGTAAGTTGCGAAAATAATTAACGATCTTTTCTTGCCATTCAAGTTAGGTTTGTTTCACCACTCATTTCTACAATTTTTACATTTCCTGCGTGTGAAAACTAGTCACAAGAGAATTGTTCAAAAATGTGAACAGTCAGTGACATCATCCTTGCCCGTAGTGTATTTAGTTTTTCTAGCGTCACGTTTTTATTATTGCAGGTACTGCAGCTGTACCAAATCAGTTCGTTGTTTGAAGTATGTTTTTGGTAATTGGCTCGTGACTGTAAAGTTTATCTGTTTCTTAATGCTGCGTGGCTCAGGGGCCTAGCCCTGGTGAAGGATGGTGTGACAAGGTAAGAAGCTCGCCCATTCTCATCAGTGATTAATTTTCATCAAAGCATCTTGCATTAAATATTCACTTTTATTGTGCCTGTGTTTAATTTCTCCTTCGTCCTCTTTTCTGTATTTTATTGATATTTATAACCTCGAATAACGCGACTTTCGAATAGTACGACATGATTTCTTTATGATAAAATTTGTTATTTTCATGTTATCGTTTCCGTTGAATCATTCTATAGTAGGTTGCAAAAATAATTTACGATATTTTTCTTGGCATTCAAGTTGGGTTTTACCACTCATTTCTACAATTTCTATATTTTCTGCGTGTGAAAACTAATAACAAGAGAATTCTTCAAAAATTTGAACCGTTAGTGACATCATCCTTGCCCGTAGTGTATTTTATTTTTCAAGCGTCATGTTTTTCATCATTGCAGGTACTGCAGCTGTACCAAATCAGCCAACTGAATCACGGCCTGATGATGGTCGGTCCGAGCGGGTCCGGGAAGAGCACCGCATGGCGTGTCCTGCTCAAGGCGCTTGAGCGTCTGGAGGGCGTCGAGGGTGTCGCTCACGTCATCGACCCTAAGGCCATGAGCAAGGAAGCCCTGTATGGTGTGCTGGACCCCAACACCAGGGAATGGACTGACGGTCTATTTACCCACATACTCAGGTCTGGCGTGAATTCTTGAGATGTGCAAGGCATAAAGCCGTAGTCTTTGGCACTGTCCTGTGTTTGATAATGGTTAGTTTGGTTTAGTGCGAACTATTCTACTGCCGCTTATGATTAGACTTGGTGTTGGTGTGCCATTCATACTGACATTCAGACATTATTTGGGTTTTTATTGTAATTTAGATCAATTTTTAGATAGACCAGTAACTGCTTCGAATTTTTACTAAAATAAGTTTCCGTCCTGTAGGAAAATCATCGACAACGTCCGCGGCGAGATTGGTAAGCGCCAATGGATCATCTTTGACGGCGATGTGGACCCCGAGTGGGTTGAGAACCTTAACTCCGTTCTCGACGACAACAAACTCCTGACGCTGCCCAACGGCGAACGCCTCTCGATCCCACCTAATGTCAGGATCATGTTCGAGGTATGCATCGTTCAGTCGTTGCTTTTAAATTATCATTTGATCACTAATCTTGCTTCAGTGTCCATTGTTGCCTTATTGTCTCTGAACTGGTCATTTGTGTCAGACCGAAGTATTTCTTTTTGAATATATTTCGTCTATATAGGTACTCTCTAATCATGCGCTTGTAATATTATTAATCATATTCCTGTATTTTTGGAAAGTAATGTTCAAATGAACGTCTTCAATGAGAACTTGTGCGCATATTCACTTACAAATCAGTGCTCGTGTGTAATTACAACCCAGTGTTAGTTATCACAAAATATAAGAGGCTCTATATTTTTGTCAAAGGTTCAAGATCTTCGCTACGCGACTCTTGCGACCGTGTCTCGCTGTGGCATGGTGTGGTTCTCAGAAGACGTGCTGAGCGTCGAGATGATCTTCCAGCACTACCTGGCCAAGCTGCGACACATCCCCGTGCAGGTCAGATAGTTTACCAACTAGAACACAATCGCCTTGGAAGGCGTTCGTTGTTATTAGTAAAATTTTTTGTTCAACTAACTTTATTTTTAATTTCGTAAAATGATGGTGGAGGTAGAAAATGTATTGTTGCAATTTTTAAATTCGTAATATGAAGGTGGAGGTAGAAAATGTATTGTTGAATTTTCTAAGTGCATTTTTCTTGTACAAGAATATGGCGTGTAGAACATAAAAAGTACTACTATTCTCTGCTTGGTCAGGATGTTGATGATGAAGCCATGGCGTCTCTCGTGCTCCACAAGAACGCTAATCAAGAGAATGAGGATGACGGAACTTCACCTGCTTTGCAGGTGAGAAGTTGTCGCTGCAGGTGTAAATCGTGTTTTAAGCACGTTATTTATCTCTACGCAATCGTTACCTTTTGCCGAGCAATTTTTTATTTCTCGTTTAAGTAAGAAGTTTTTAGTGTTTGTCAATGGTTTGTATTTTTTTATGCAACAAAATTGAAAATATTTGTAGGATTCATGCCGTTATAAACGGTTGATTTTATCTCTTTATGCGTGACGACGTTTAGGTGCAGAGTGACATCGCTGCCATCCTCGCCCCCCACCTCACGCCTGACGGACTTGTGGTCAAGTGCTTGGAGTTTGCAGACTCTCGTCTTGAGCACATCATGGACTTTACGAGGATGCGTGCCTTGTCTTCACTCTTTGCTCTCTTCAACCAGGCTGTGAGGAACGTGCTCCTATACAACAATGCACACCCCGATTTCCCGATGCAGAGCGACCAGCTTGAGAGGTTTGTCCCTGCGTAGAAACTTTTATATTTGCTTGGTCCGCGGGCTGAGTTTGATATTTTTTATTGGCATAATTTTTACAGGAAAGCAATGATGGAAGTTTCCTATCTGATATCATTGGTAGGATTCTATAATTTACAGCTTTGGATCTGCATCTTTGTAAAAGTTTTACATTTTTCACTTTTCATTAATAAGGGTAGAGGTAGTAGAAAAGCTCTAATCTTTACTTTTTTATCAACAAAGAAAGGTTGAGCTGCCGATAGAATGTTTTTATCAATATTTTTCTTAATCTCTACCTCGGATGTGATTTCTCTCAGGTACATCCCAAAAGCCTTGGTGTACTCACTACTGTGGAGTTTTGCCGGCGACGGTCGCCTCAAGGCGCGCAGTGACCTGGGTAACTTCATCAGAGACAACACCACCATCCCACTCCCTGCTGGCAACCTGCCCATTGTCGATTATGAGGTGAAACGCCTGCGAGTATTGAATGATCAAACTCTAATAAATTGTTATTACTTTCACTCGCATACTAAGTGATGAAAAAGGCAGAGTTGATTGAAAACAAAATATATGCATTAAATAATACTAAGTTGACTACAAAGATAATACTTGAGAGACCTCACGCTCCGTCACGAGATCAAACATACGATGGATTTACTTGATGATTTTAATTACTGATTTGGTCAATTGCATTCGTGTTTATCCTCCAGGTGAACTTGAGCGGCGAGTGGTGCCCGTGGTCCAACAAAGTACCCGTCATGGAAGTGGAGACTCACAAAGTGGCAGCTCCTGACGTGGTTGTACCCACCGTGGACACTGTGCGTCACGAGGCTCTCCTCTCAACGTGGCTAGCCGAGCACAAACCTCTCGTCCTGTGTGGCCCTCCTGGATCGGGCAAAACTATGACTCTGTTCTCCGCCTTGCGAGCGCTTCCAGATTTGGAGGTCGTTGGCCTCAACTTCTCGAGCGCCACCACGCCCGAACTTGTCATCAGAACCTTTGACCATTATTGTGAATACCGTAAAACTCCAAACGGCCTAGTTTTGTCGCCCATTCAACTAGGTAAATGGCTTGTAGTCTTCTGTGACGAAATCAACTTGCCAGATATGGACAAGTATGGTACTCAGCGCGTGATCAGCTTTCTCAGACAGATGGTCGAGCACGGAGGATTCCATCGTATCTCTGATCAGGCATGGGTGAAACTAGAGCGCATTCAGTTTGTTGGTGCCTGCAACCCGCCTACCGACCCTGGTCGTAAGCCTCTGTCCCACAGGTTCTTACGTCACGTACCTGTAGTGTATGTGGACTATCCAGGGGCAACATCCCTGACTCAAATCTACGGCACGTTTAATCGTGCCATGCTGCGCATTGTGCCTGCCCTGCGATTGTACTCTGAGCCGCTGACGGCTGCCATGGTAGATCTTTACCTGAGCTCCCAGGAACACTTCACTCAGGACATGCAGCCGCACTACGTTTACTCGCCACGTGAAATGACGCGCTGGGTACGAGGCATCTGTGAAGCTATACGCCCGCTGGAAACTCTTGAACCTGAAGGCCTGGTGAGACTTTGGGCTCATGAAGCTTTGCGGCTCTTCCACGACCGGCTCGTCACAGACGACGAAAGGAAGTGGACAAATGGTGTAATAAATTCCATCGCCGCCAAGCATTTCCCGAATGTAAACTTGGAAGTTGCTCTTGCTCGGCCAATCCTCTACAGCAACTGGCTGTCCAAAGATTATCTGCCCGTTGACCAGGAGGAGCTTCGCGAGTACACCAAAGCTAGACTCAAAGTCTTCTACGAAGAAGAGCTCGATGTGCCTCTGGTGCTCTTCAATGAAGTGCTGGATCACGTGTTGCGCATTGATCGTATCTTCCGGCAGCCGCAAGGACATCTGCTGCTGATTGGAGCCTCGGGCGCTGGTAAAACAACTCTATCGCGCTTCGTTGCTTGGATGAACGGACTCTCGATCTTCCAAATAAAGGTAATCTTTTCCATATGTTGTCTTGAATATTTTAGTTTGATTCGATACTGTCTGCTGATTTTTTTCCTCAGTTAGGTCAAAGGTGTAATTAGTTTCATAATGTTCGCATTAGTCCAGTGGCTAGTTCGGCCGTATTATCCTCACATATTCACGTATTGTCAATTTATGGCATCGCAAATAAAAAGAATTACGAAAATTTGTGATGCAAGGGAGTAAGCTATCACCCCTTATTCTACAGGTACACAACAAATACTCTGCTGATGACTTCGACGAGGATCTGCGCACTGTGCTGCGGCGGTCGGGATGTAGAGACGAGAAGATCTGCTTCATCTTGGACGAGAGCAACGTGCTGGACTCTTCATTCTTGGAAAGAATGAACACGCTGCTCGCTAACAGCGAGGTGCCTGGCCTTTTTGAAGGTATCGTCTAAACCCGAAAATTAGGAATAATGTTACCGATTACTGATAAAAGTCTGTGCTTCTTTTTTTTCTGTGATGGATGAAATGCACAGTGCTGTAGAAGCGCCCACTAAACTGCTCGTTATATTATAATATTACAAATTCGCAACTTTTCATTTTTCGATGTTAGTCTTTAATTATAAGTCTTCATTCGAAGACCATGTTATTTTTATTTCGTGCATGATGAATTTGATTTGTGATCATTACGTAATTATTTTCTAGGTGACGAGTACACAACCCTGATGACTCAGTGCAAAGAAGGCAGTCAACGTGAGGGTCTCATGCTGGACTCCAGCGAAGAGCTGTACAAGTGGTTCACAGGCCAGGTACGTGACTCTTGCTGGTTCACAGGCCAGGTACGTGACTCTTGCTGGTTCACAGGCCAGGTACGTGACTCTTGGTGTTTCACAGGCCAGGTACGGGACTCTTGGTGTTTCACAGGCCAGGTACGTGACTCTTGGTGTTTCACAGGCCAGGTACGGGACTCTTGGTGTTGCACAGGCCAGGTACGGGACTCTTGGTGTTGCACAGGTACGTTTCACAAGTCAGGTAGTGGTCTTTTTGTGGTGGGCCACTTGCTGATTATTTCAGCTACCGGTATGTCGTCTTTTTTAATGTTTTAGGAGTTCTTGTCTGATGAAATTTTTCTATTCCTGTTCTCTTAGATTTAGTATTTTCTTATTTGAGGCGCTTGAAGATTATGAGAACAAAGCATACTTACATTGTTTAGGTGTTTTTCCATTCTGATTTCTGATAGAAACCTCTCAGTGGGGACTTCTGACGCGCGTCTGTGCTCGTCACAAGTCCTATGGGATTACGCGCTCTTAGGGGGATTGTTCATGAGGGCCCCACCGCTGAGCTCGCGGTGTCAGACTGCAAGTCTCGGTTGTGGTGTTGAGTTATTATGTAGGTAGGAATCCTTACATCAAGTTATTATGCAAGTAAAATTCCTTATATTTATCATCACTGTCTGTGCGGGCGGCCGACGTCCCGTGTAAGCGACCTCTTGTTAGATTGTTTTCGTTTCTGTTTTTCACCTGTCCCTCCTTGTCACTTCGTCTCTTTGAGATGCTAACGCTGCTTCCTTCTGGCCAGCTTCAGCGAGAGGGATAATTGAGACCTTCCGCCCCTAGTGGGTGATGGATAATTTTTGATTTGAGAATCTTTCGATAACTGAGACCTTCTCCCTCGTGTGTGATGTTCATCTTGACTTTCGGTTCGAGGTAGCTAAATAACTGAAGCGCTAGCAGACATGTGGAGAGATTAACGATAGAGATTAAGCTTTCTCTCCATCCAAATTTATTTTATCGCCAATGTATCCAATTCATTTAACTCGAACCTTCAATAATTATACACTACTATAGGAGTCCTAATTTAATCTAATGCGATGTTTAGTGTTAAGCAACGTTATCTCCATAATAACTCTATTTTATTGGGTCAGGTGATGCGCAACCTGCACGTGGTGTTCACAATGAACCCCTCTACAGACGGCCTCAAGGACCGCGCTGCCACCTCTCCCGCTCTGTTCAACAGATGTGTGCTTAATTGGTTCGGTGACTGGTCCAATGGAGCTCTCTTCCAGGTACTGCCAATCTGTATTCATTTTAGATCTCAACGCTCTGTTAGAAAATAAATTGATATTCGGTTTAGAAAAAGATGAGGATATAATGTATTATATCTTGTATTTTTACTTGAACCGATGGCGTAATTTATTAATTTTACCTGCATCGATTTGAAAGATCCACTTGCTTTGATTTATTGTCAAGTTAGATCTGAGCAGAGTATACTATTTTGATCAGTTTGTCTTTCAAATCTTCTAACCGAGTTTAAACCTGGATTGTATTGTTAGGCACGTTCAGCTATATTATTTTCTTTCACATTAGGTGCTTGCCACACCGAACGATTATAATAGTTAGATTTGGTAACCTTATTTCTACAGGTCGGCAAGGAATTCACCAATCGTATGGACTTGGATAGAACCAACTGGGTGGCACCGGATTACTTCCCGGTGACTTACGAAGGACTTCGGCCAAACCCATCACACCGCGAAGCTGTCATCAACGCTCTCGTGTACGTCCATCAAACCCTGCATCGTTCGAATGCGAGGCTCGCCAAACGTGGCGTCACCGTCATGGCCATAACACCAAGGTCAGACCCGCTCAACTATTTGCCTCGCTATTTGAACTCCAGTGCAAAAAATTTTCAAATCCTAGCACTAGCTGTTTACTGCCTTCAATGTTGAGTAACTTCGTTGACTGACTACAATTATGACAATTATTTCTTTTCTTAGTTGCCTCTTAGCTATTAAATAGATTGCATAGAGTGCGGAATGAACTTTTTCTGTGGCAAATTTATTGCCATCCATGCGCATAAACCACGATGCTACCCTCTAATGTTTTTATTTGGCAAATGAATAAATTTTTAAAGGTCAGCTCTGGCAACAATGATCTCACACGTATCTTCCTGCTACTAGGCACTACCTGGACTTCATTCAACACTTTGTGAAGCTCTACCAGGAGAAGCGTAGTGAACTCGAAGAGCAGCAACTACATCTGAACGTCGGCCTTGCGAAGATCGCTGAAACGGTGGAACAAGTCGAACTAATGCAGAAGTCCTTGGCAATCAAGAACCGCGAACTTGAGGTACTGCTTAGAAATGGCTTCTCGTTTGGGTCTCGTGTTTATTTGTTTTTTAGCGCATTTTCTTATTTATGGAAAAAATGCACTATTGTTCTCGCCATGTCGTATGTCCGTCCGTCCGTGACTTAACGTTTTCGTCGACGAGAAAATGCGCTCTCTGTCACTCACAGCAGTGAGTAATGTTATATTTTTTTTAATTGTCCTTAATTTTCTTATATGACGTGCTAACTTGGTCTAAGTCTCGCAGGCTGACGTGTAACAACGAGATTAGGCTTTTATTTCCCCTAATACATTTTTGTTTATTAGGTTAAAAATGAAGCCGCTAACGCGAAGCTCAAGCAAATGGTGAAGGATCAGCAGGAAGCTGAGCGTCAAAAGGTGGCCGGTCAGGAGCTGCAAGAGGCGCTGCAGGAGCAGAAGAAAGCCATCAAGAGTAAGCAGGAGAGCGTACTGCAGGAACTCAGCGGCGTCGAGCCTGCCGTCTTGGAGGCACAGAACGGTCAGCATGGCGATGGGAAAACCATTTTCTTTAGGCAGGCTTGTTTTGATATACTTCATAGTTTTTGTATTTTCAACCAGCGGAGAAGAATTGTTTTGAAGTTCAGTATAAGTATGATACTAAATTTATTAATTTATACTGTATATGTAAATTAAATAGTGTTAAAAAAATGTCACATGTAATAAAATACGTCTGAAATGCCGTAACCGCTGTCTAGTAGACATTTCTTGTCACTCCGAAATTTTTTAAAGATGAAAAATTGATTTCAAAATTGAAGATAACCTTGAAATTGAACGTTCGTTCTCCTGATTGCAGCTGTCAAAGCGATCAAGCGTCAACATTTGGTCGAGATCAGATCTCTAGCCAACCCTCCGGTGGCTGTGAAGCTGGCGCTCGAGTCCATCTGCTTGCTCATCGGCGAGGCTGCCACTGACTGGAAGGGAATCAAACAGGTCACCATGCGGGACAATTTCATCAACACTATCGTCAATTTCAACACTGACGATATCACGTGAGTTCCTGTTTTAAAACCATTTTGTCCTTTTTAACCTTTTTTAATTTCGGATTAGCTGAAGAATATTCTTCATATAGAATATTTTGCTTTCTCTGACGGTTTTTTCTCTACATTTTGGTTTGAATTTTTTTATGCTAGTTCAGATCGTATTCTTTTGTTGGAATTAGTGTCAATCTTTCGACTTAGATCTAAATATGAATTTTTTTTCACGGTTCAACCGTAGTTGCTATTCAGCTAAAATGATGGAACACTTAATAAGCTTTTCTCGTTCCAGTGATGATATCAGAGAGAAGATGCGCTCGCGCTACCTCTCCAACCCAGACTATAACTTCGAGAAAGTGAACAGAGCATCACTGGCCTGTGGTCCTATGGTTAAATGGGCCATTGCGCAGCTAGAGTACGCGGACATGCTTAAAAAGGTCGAGCCTCTAAGGAATGAACTCAAAGATCTAGAGGGACAAGCTCAGAAGAATATCGTCAAACACAATGAGGTACGTATGGCGCACGCTGGTTTGAATCAAGATTATTTGAAGTTTGGCTTCTTCTGAAACTGCTCATATTTATCTAGTCTTATTTTGTATTGCAGTTTGAATAGAATTTATAATGTTGATAGTTTTTGCAGAATGTATAAAGGTACTTACATTCCTGCTTCAACTTTTTGAATTTTTACGGAATCTGTGAATATCGAGGATTTCGGTCAAATCATTATTCACGGCTATTATTTAAGAATATTAGGGTCGAATTATTTATTTCTATTTACTATCAGGCGATTGAAATTCTGGATACGAACTGCAAGGCATAATCTCTTTCACTCATTTAAAAATTGATCTGGCATTTGTTCACTCGCACTATGCAGGTGAACGCCCACATCGCTGCCCTGGAGAAGTCCATCGCGAGCTACAAGGACGAGTACGCCGTGCTCATCTCCCAGGCGCAGGCCATCAAGACCGACTTGTCCAGCGTCGCTGCCAAGGTTGACCGGTCCATGGCTCTCATCAGGGACCTCTCGCTTGAGAAGGACAGATGGGCGGCCACTTCTGAGACTTTCAAGGTAACGAGGTTCGAGTTGCAATAGGTTCTTTTGTCTTCCCGGCGATGATACCGGTATCGATGCGTTTTTTTTCGTTGGGCAGTTTTTCCTTGAATACGTAAAGAATTGTTTAACCTTAGCACCCGTCTTTATGTTAAAATTTTAGCATCTATTTATTCTGCAGCAATTCTGTACTTTTCATTAAACGCATGAATATTTCACTTTTTGAGTATTTTTGTTCAATCAGTTAATTTTTTGATGAACTGCTCCACAGAAAAATTTTTTGTATTAGATGAAATTGGCTTTTCCTGCAATCTTTACTGATGTCAAGAAACAGTGAATTTTCTCCATTCGCAGTCGCAAATGTCGACAATCATCGGTGACACTCTGTTGTCGTCCGCCTTCTTGGCCTATGCAGGCTACTTCGAGCAACAGTTCCGCCAGAACCTATTCACCAACTGGTGTGCGCATCTGCAGCAGTCAAACATTCAGTTCCGTAGCGATATTGCTCGCACGGAGTATCTTTCTAACCCCGACGAACGACTGCGCTGGACCGCGAATGCCCTGCCTGCTGACGAGCTCTGCACAGAAAATGCCATAATGTTGAAACGCTTCAATAGATATCCTCTGATAATTGATCCGTCTGGTCAAGCCACAGAGTTCATCATGAACGAATACAGCGAGAAAAAGATCACAAAAACAAGTTTCTTGGACGATTCGTTCCGGAAGAATCTTGAGAGCGCATTGCGTTTTGGTAACCCACTGCTGGTGCAGGATGTGGAAAACTACGACCCCATCCTGAACCCTGTATTGAACAGAGAATTGCGCCGGACTGGTGGCCGTGTCCTCATTACTCTCGGTGATCAGGTGAGAGATTGCCGCTCGTTTGGTCCTGTTTGTATCAATCAAAATTTCTTGATTTTCACGGAGAGCCATTGACCAGAACGTCCGTCGATTTTCTTATTTTCCTATTGTTTTCTTTACGTGAAAAATTTCGAGAGAAGTGAATTAAGGATATGAATTATATTATTGGTTTTGCTTAACCTTAGCCGTTTCATATCCTTTTTCCAGGATATCGACTTGTCTCCGGCATTCACCATATTCTTATCCACGAGAGACCCAACCGTGGAGTTTCCTCCCGACCTCTGTTCCCGCGTTACTCTGGTAAATTTCACCGTGACGCGTTCGTCACTACAGTCCCAGTGCCTCAACCAAGTTCTTAAAGCCGAGCGTCCTGATATAGATGACAAACGCAGCAATCTCCTGAAACTACAGGGTAATTTTTAAGCACTTTTTTGGCCTGTCATTTCAGAACAGTAGTTTATGTAGAAACGCTTGAAATATACTGCCCTGCCAACTTATTTTTCCGTTGTTAATTTTGATATTGAGCATTGGCTACCATGAAATTAGTTCGAAATTGTATCAAATGTAGCGCAATTCAAATAAGAAATTGTTCACGGCCCTCTCTTTCCTATCTCAGGAGAATTTCAACTCCGCCTGCGCCAATTGGAGAAAAATTTGCTGCGAGTCTTGAATGACTCGAAGGGACAAATTCTAGACGATGATTCAGTCATCACGACACTAGAGACGCTCAAGAAAGAAGCATCGGATATATCTCTGAAAGTCCAAGAAACTGAAAAAACCATGAACGAAATCGAGATGGTTTCCCAACAGTATATGCCTCTGAGCAGCGCTTGCTCCAGCATCTACTTCACTCTGGATGCTCTCCACCAGGTGCACTTCCTTTATCAATATTCACTTCAGTTCTTCTTGGAAGTTTTCAAGGATGTCCTAACCAACAATCCAAGACTTGCCTCTCAGACCGACTATGCCACTCGACTAAGTATTGTCACCACAGACTTGTACCAATTGACTTTCGGCCGCGTGGCACGTGGCATGATCCATAAGGATCGCCTCACTTTCGCCATACTACTGGCCCGAATACACTTGAAAGGGCTCACCTCTGAGGGCCTATGCGATGCAGAGTTCCAGTTCATGCTTCGCGATAAAGAAGGACTCCTCAACACGTCGACGTCCGCTATTGCAGGCCTTACGCCCGAACAGTCGCAATCTATGATGCGTCTGGCATCAAAAGTACCCACTTTCAGGAACGTCGAATCAAAGATCGGAGGCACCGATTTCGTCTCATGGCTAAACAGTTCCAAAGCCGAGATGAATGTGCCGGTGTTGTGGGAGAGCGAAAAGCAGCTCACTCAAGTGAGCGAATGCGTATATAAAATGCTTGTGGTACAAGCATTTAGGCCGGATCGATTCTGCGCCTCTGCCGCGCTCTTCGTCAACGCTGTGCTTGGTGATGGATTCCTCAGCATTGGTGAACGAGAGGTAACGTCATATTGTGAAAATTATCATTCATTCAACATTGAAAACAAACTTTTCATTCATTAGGTTACGTGTCCTTGTTGAAAATCTGATTTATTCCTATGCTTTCTCCTATTCTGTGTTCGTCCACACGAGAAATTTTAAACACGTTGAGTACATTCACCTTGGATACCAATTTCTGGATTTTAATTTCTTTCTTATTCTATTTATACTAAAGGCTATTGTGTTTACATTTATAGGTTGACTTCAACGTGGTTGTGCAAGAAGAAGTGAAGGGCTCCACGCCGTTGCTGTTGTGTGCCAGTCAAGGATTTGACGCCTCAGCGCGTGTAGACGATCTTGCCGCAGAACAAAACAAACCCATAAGTTCCATTGCCATCGGCTCCGCTGAAGGTTTCAGTCAGGCCGACAAAGCCATCAACTCTGCTGTCAAAAATGGAAGGTAAATCAACTCTACTTCTCCGAAGATCCATTTGATATCTCTTGTGCGAACCTATTAGTTCTCGAAAAATTTATGGGTTAATTGAATTTTTAAAATTTTCCTGCTGATTCAGGTGCAATATTTTTCATCACCAGGTGGGTAATGCTGAAGAACGTTCACCTTGCTCCCGGATGGCTTGTGCAGCTCGAGAAAAAGTTGCATCAGCTTCATCCTCACCCTCAATTCCGGCTATTCCTTACCATGGAGATATCACCACGCCTTCCCGTTAATTTACTGAGGGCTGGTCGAATCTTCGTCTTCGAACCTCCCCCTGGTGTTCGAGCCAACCTCCTCAGGACGTTCAACACTGTAAGTTTACCTTAATTTTTTTTGTCGAGTCACGCCATTCAAACGCATGAATATTGATAATGTTATCTCGTTTTCTATGCGTTCTAACAGTTTTCAATCTAATTCTCTTCTTGGACCTTGAAACGGGTAAGTCTGATTACCTTAGAAACGTGTGAAAAATTATTCCAATTTGATGGACGTTTGTGAGAAACTTGTGAGAGCAATTGTCTATTGAACTAAAATTAAAAAAATTTCGCCGCTCCAGGTTCCAGCTTCTCGCATGATGAAGGCTCCCAACGAACGTGCCCGTTTGTACTTCTTACTGGCTTGGTTCCACGCTGTCACCCAAGAGCGTCTTCGCTACGCTCCTCTTGGCTGGGCTAAACACTACGAGTTCAACGAGAGCGACTTGAGGGTGGCTTGTGACACGCTCGACACCTGGATTGACGCAACTGCAATGGTCTTGAACATTTTGAACAATTTTTTATGCATGAATTTTGAATTTATTTTGAAATTTGTCTGTTGGTCACAGTCTTAAAATCGTGTAATTAGGGCGAAATTATCTTGGAACTGAATAACCCAAAATAAGAGATTTAACTTATTTGTTGTTAATTCAGCACCGAAACAAATGTGATCTCTTTTAACTATGTAGGGCGCAGAATAATACTATTTTGTTAACATTGGCAGGGTCGTACGAATCTGCCTCCGGAAAAAGTTCCGTGGGATGCTCTAGCCACCCTCCTGTCGGAATGCATCTATGGCGGAAAAATCGACAACGAATTTGATCAACGCCTCTTGGCCTCGTTCCTGTCGAAACTTTTCACCCCAATGAGCTTTGACCCGGACTTCCCGTTGGTCAAAAATACTGAAGGTATTTGCTACACTGAGTTGTTTTTGTCCGCACACTTCGTTAAGATGCAGGCATTTGACTTTGACGAATAGGAGTATGAAAAGAGAATTTTCTCAGCATTTTGATTCGTATGCGAGTGTGATCTTACTGTGTAATATGCTGTAACACGTCTTTAAACAGGTAGCGAAAACATCTGCATGCCGGACGGCATTCGACGAGACCAGTTTCTACACTGGATTGAAGCCCTCGGTGACAGGCAGAGTCCGTCTTGGCTTGGCTTGCCAGAAAACGCCGAGAACGTTTTACTCACTACCAGGGGTACAGACCTGCTTGCTTCTCTTCTCAAGATGACAGTGCTGGAAGATGACGATGAACTCGCGTATGCTGGTGTGGAAGAACATTCGGGTGTAAGGGACTCTGGTAACCAAAGCAGACCTTCATGGATGGTGACCTTGCACCAGTCAGCTACTACGTGGCTCTCCTTGCTGCCGGAAAAAGTCCCGATATTACGACGCACTCTGGAAAACATCAAGGACCCTCTTTACCGGTTCTTCGAACGTGAAGTCAATTCCGGTGCCAAGTTACTGAAACGTGTGCGTACCGATCTGACGGATGTAATCCTAATATGCAAAGGAGATAAGAAACAAACGAATTACCACCGTAACATGGTCAGTAAACTAGTGAAGGGAATAATCCCCGATCTATGGCTCATGTATACAGTGCCCAAGACTGCGACGGTGAGCCACTGGGCCACCGACCTTGCACACCGCATGAAGCAGCTGCAGGATGTGTCCCAGTGTGTAGCTCAGTATGGAGCTGGTGAACTGAAGAACGTCACCGTCTGGCTGGGGGGTCTCTTCAACCCTGAGGCGTATGTGACAGCCACTCGACAATGCGTTGCTCAGGCTAACAGCTGGTCTTTGGAAGAGCTCACCCTCAAAGTCACTGTCACAGATGAAGGCCAATCACCTCAACAAGGTGGCTTCAATATCCGCGGCTTGAAACTCCAAGGAGGCAAGTGTGAGAAAAATGTACTGTATCTATCGTCTCAAATTATGAACGAGCTGCCGCTGACTACCTTGTGGTGGGTTAGAGCTGAAGAGGGCGACAAGTTGGGCACGAAGTCTCCGCCCATCACTCTGCCAGTCTATCTGAACGCTACTCGAACAGACATGCTTTTCACAATCGAATTGCAGTCAGCTGATGGATTGAATGCTCACAGCTTTTACGAACGTGGCGTTGCGGTTCTATCTTCTACTAGTTTGAACTAACAAGTTCATCTCCTCGAAAAATAATCTCAGCTCCTGGTGGTAGCTAATTGTATATGTTTGCGTTTAACTTTGTTTAAATTTTAGAGTCGTTACTAGTTTGGGAAGAATATCCTGTCATTCCATAGATACATTGCGTAAACTCCTTCGTCTAATTTTGCCTTGGGCAAAAATCTTGTGAATAAGTTTTATAGCTAAAACTTGTTTCAGATTTCAAAGCATCGTGCATGGACGATAGTGAATTTTTAGATTATTGTCGTCACTTTGTTGAACCTTTTACTGAACCAAACAATTTTCTTTGCTATTAACTTGAATAAGTTCTAATTAAACCCTTAGGATAAAGTGTTAAACCCCTTATTTTTTATTTAGAATTGTTGGTCAGGAATATCAAATTGTAGTAGTTTCGCTCGAACGTAATGATTTTCTTTTCGAGTGTATACGCTAATGTGTTGTGATGTATTTACCTAATGCAAACTAATAAATTATTATCCATATTGTCTAGATCTAACCCAACGAGATTCACAGGAGAAATAAACCCGTCCGATCAGATACTAATTAATGAGGGAAATTTATGGCCCACGACATGAACAAACGAACTGTGTCGATTTTCAGCAACGTATTCGTGCAGGCAGCGCCGCTAATCTACAGGAGCATAAAATTTTCTAGCTCATTCATTGCTGAGAAGGTCGAAGTTGACTTTACGATGTATCCAAAGCTAATTTTCTTGTGATAACGCTATCTTTCACGATCATAGGCTGAGTAAACCAATATGCCTGATACAGCTACATACGGTATAAATCCCGACTCATTTTGAAATTTGCGAAAAACGAGCATTAATTACAAACTTTAACGTTACTTCACGTTTCTCAGAACTAGATTATCTCACGATGGATATCAACTCTCCTAACGCTCATCAGACCAAATGAAACTTAACTTGCGCAGTTGGTTAATTGGACAAATCGCTCATGTCTATGTATACACGTGGACTGGAAGGAGAGAAGAATTGGTGACGGCGTATAAATGTAAAACAAATGTGAGAAAAGAACTGGATGTGAGGTGTGAGCTGCTAAGTTCGCCCACGCTAACGCATTTCTTTCGGATTGGTGGAGATAAATGGCTTGCACATTTTCTCCTTGAATTTTCTTTCCCTGCAATTACACCATGACCCATCCTTCCACTTCATTTAACATTTCTCCTGCTATTCACTATGACCTTGAATTCTTCACTGACGTTCAATAAGTGAACATATAATGCTTGGTAGATGGCCGTCACACAAGACGTGACTCATGTCCTTCCAAAGTTAGCATGTTCTAAATCCAATTCAAAAATTAAATCTATCTACTACGGAGCATAGCATAGTGATGTCGGCGCTGATGAATAGGCCTGATGTGGCCTATCGCCTAAACTATTATTTTGTTAGATAACTAACTATTAACGGCGGTCTTAACTTCGAAATCAGAAATTTCTAGAATGTCATTGTTGAAAGTTTCAGGCAATCGGCCTGTAGAACATGCTTATTTGATAGTTTTATGTGACTTATGTGAGTTTTGATAATCCAGTACGCATGTGATCGTGATATCCATCTGCAAGTTTGTGAATATTTTTTGTTAATAAAATGCTTGCGAACGTGTTTGAAGATTTTAAAGAATAAGATGAAGTTAGCCAAGACAAATCTACATACAGCCAAACTAAAACGTGTTGAACTAGGAAATTCTCACATCCCACGATATCAGACGCATCAAATTTAGCTCAGCTTCCTGCTTTTGCATGTCGTTCTTGAAAATATAAAAAAAACCTCTCTGACTTGTCTTTCATGTAATACTAACTTCATAATTATTGAAGCACTGGTTCTGAGCGATGAGAAAGAGTTCGTATTTACTGAGGGAAGATTTTGAACTCCCAGCAGTTGAGTCAAAAAATATATATACTACGTTAACGAATGCAGAAGTCACTGGAAGTTAGAACTTGCCAGTAACAATAATTCTCGACGTCAACTATTGGTAGTAGGCTTTTAGTGCAAACCAATTCAGAGTGTTAGCAATGCGATTACTTCAAATACTTAGAAATCATTAAATACCTTTGCTTTCTATCATACTTGCTAGTTATATTCGTTTCAAAGGATTGTAAAAACACGTTGTCTGCTTTCTTCTTATTCAACCTGGATCTCGTATAACTAATAATGTTAATGGTTTGAATTGAGGCATAAAAGTAGTATTGTATCCAAGATATGTCAGACAACTAAAATTCCTCATTACGAACAAATATAAGGCATGACATGATCGGTTGCTCTTAGCCAGATAGAGCGGTTGAATTTAAAAGTAAGCGCAAAATATCTATTTGTTAACTCAAGAACCAACACTCTACTTAAACGCATCAGATAATCATATTGACGACAGTTAAAATGGGCATGACATTGCGTCAATAGGCAATTAGGCATTGCTTGCGCATACCATGCAGCAGCCACGGGACCAAATTAAAATGATCTCAGTTGTAAGCGGCAGCCGTCCAGTGCTATCAATAACAACTGACGTGAGATAACTAATGTGTGGAGGTATTGCGGTTCACTATTTCCCCAGCAGAATAATTTACGATAACGGAAGACCATTTAATCCTACAACTAATACACGAAATCCTTGAATAATATTCAAGAGAAGAATTATGCAAAACATCCTTCAGTAAAATCAGGTAGATGCTTAATAACTAAGAGATTATGAAAGAGATTGATCGATGTAGACATTCTGCCTCCATTCATAAAGAGTTGGGTTAAATCATGTTATTTAACCTATTCCAACCGCGCAGCACTCATGGTTTAGTTCAGTGGCGAAACACCAGCGCTTCAGCTATTTAGCTATCTCGCACCGGAAGTCAAGATGAACATCACCCACCAAAGAGGCGGAAGGTCTCAGTTATCGAAAGTTTATCAAATCAAAAATCATTCAACACCCACAAGGGGCGGGAAGTCTCAGATGTCCAGCCCGCTGAAGCTGGCTCGAAAGAAGCAGCGTTAGCATCTCAAAGAGACGAAGTGACAAGGAGGGACAGGTGAAAAGCAACAGAAACGAAGACACTCGAACAAGAGGTCGCTTACACGGGACGTCGGCCGCCCGCACGAGAGAGACAGAGAAGGAAAACGTAAGGAATCCTACCTACATAATAACTTAATGTAAGGAATCCTACCTACATAATAACTTAACCTCAAAACTAAAGCCCGCAGTCAGACACCGCGAGCTCAGCGGTGGGGCGCTCAGGAACAATCCCCCCAGGAGCGCGAAATCCCATAGAACTTCTGACGAGCATAGACACGCGTCAGAAGTCCCCCCTGAGGAGGCAGCACTCATGGGTATTTCATTCAATCAATTAGGAAAAAGTCCAAACATTGACTTAATCACAACGAAAATAGATCGTGCAAAGAGCAGTCACAAATTAAATTATTAAATTAGAATTATTACACAAATTAAAAGCAGTATTTTGACTTCAAAGTGCCTAAATACATCCCATAAACAGCGCTAAACAATAACAGATAAAAACAAGTATACGCCTTTCAAATGAACTAAAATTGCATACGGCATGAGTGAACAGCAACAGACACAGAGTTGCTCGTAAAATAAGTCACAAGGGCTGACGACGAGTGAGAAACGTAAAAGATAGCCTGTCTACCCGGTCGATGCAACTACCTAACTGTAAAGTAACCATCAGGCAGGTACTACGAGCTCCAAGTCGAGATGGTCAGAAATTGTACTCCAATTTAATTGCTATGCTTGTTTCACACCTAGCTAGTATGTTTGTTATGCAATAAATAACCTTTTAAACGGCAAGTTGAATGATATTTAGTTACTTCACTAGATTTACAGCTCGAATTGCAGCACTTCTCATGCCAGCCTTACAGCACACTATATCGAACCCGGTGGAAGTCTAGTAGCTACTTGAAACTATCGTCAGTCATGAAAAGATCCGGTCAAATGAAACGATATTAGATCTTCTGTGAACAAGGCACGAAAATGAAAAGAATCGGCGACAGGCCACATCAGGCCTACACTTCAGCGCCGAGATCAATATGTTATGTTATGTTATTGCCAGCTTTACAGCACGTCTCTTACCAGCATTACAGCACGTCTTTTCCCGGATTTACAGCACGTCTCTTGCCAGCATTACAGCACGTTTTTTAACTGCACCATCATAACAACGCACTGTAACCTGCTGCAGGTGCAGAGGTTAGACCTGATGCTGCAGGTGCAGAGGTCAGACCTGATGCTACAGGTGCAGAGGTCAGACCTGATGCTGCAGGTGCAGAGGTCAGACCTGANGCTGTCTCTTATACACATCTAGATGTGTATAAGAGACAGGATCAGACCTGATGCTGCAGGTGCAGAGATCAGACCTGATGCTGCAGGTGCAGAGATCAGACCTGATGCTGCAGGTGCAGAGGTCAGACCTGATGCTGCAGGTGCAGAGGTCAGACCTGATGCTGCAGGTGCAGAGGTCAGACCTGACGCTGCAAGTGCAGAGTTCAGACCTGATGCTGCAAGTGCAGAGTTCAGACCTGATGGGCTAAACCTTCTCGTGTGAAGTGAGGCACTAAGAAAATCTCTTAAATTAAAAATTTGATGAAGCTGCATACGCAGCAATAGTAAATTTTATGTTGTAAATGACAAGGGTAATGCGCATCAGACTAATAACACCCGTGTTATCTGGAGATACAAAGTTACATACTGCAAAATCTTGCAAATACTATTTAGACGTGCGTATCCTTCATGTTATCAAATGAAATCTGAGTTACCAGTACCTACAACTAAATATGTTGACCAACACTATTCGCATAGGCTGTCGACATCTGGTCAAAGAGCGGCGCTTGGCCGTTAATATCGCGAATATTTTTGAGCTGTGCGACGCCCAATTTAAGAGCTGCTTGCCTCCGTCTTTGAGATGGAGGCAAGGGATCGCTTTGAGATGCAGGCCTTTGAGGATGGCTCAATTAGTCTCACGATATTCGCTTCCTTTTGCATTATTAATCGCAAGGATTTTTGCAAGTGGAAAAGTATGAACCAATATAAAGATGAGCTTTTATCTTTCCAACATTTTATTCCAAGTTCTACCGACGTTTCCTTGGATCTAACCGAAGAAATACCTATTAGAAACGAATTATAAAATTGTACTACAATTCGTTTAGGGAAATGACTCAAGGACATGAAGAATTAAAACTGGTTCGAGAATTTCCGATCAAAAGATATAAGTAAAATTTGTCCTAACTAGAATTGTATGATAAAGGACATATTTGATGCATGCTGCCGAAGCTGAAGGATGCTCATCGTTGTATTTGATACAAGTAATTGGTGTAATGACAACTGGATCAATGGAGAGTTGAGGCGACGATGAATACCACGCGTTCAAAAATTTTGCTTATCATTTAATCTTCGTCACCCAATTTCCCAACAAATTTGTTAAAAAACCCAGCTTTCTTCTATTCTTTGTATGGCTCACCTATAACTGGAGCGGC